ATGAAATGTAATTTAGAAATTAGGTATGTGTTTTGGCCATGGAAAGGCTCAGCAAGAGGTTAAGAAAACACCTACCAACAATACTTTTCTAGGTTTCTCGATATCAAAATATCTACTTCAGTAAATGCACAAAAAGTCCAGTAATGATTGGTTCTTGTACCATTTTGGCAGCAAATAGCCCAAAACAATAACAAAGTTTCCATTTATATTCTACACAATAAAAAAGCCTTGTATAGAAAATAGAAACAGAAATGGAGTAACCTAAAATGATGAAAATGTATATAATTTTTTTTTTTTTTTTTTAWTCTCCTGTGGGTTACTGATTGCCCAAATATACAAAGAAATGTCAATTGCCAAYTTTGTGCGACTGCAAAATAGTCACCAGAGTCCCCAGGAGATTCAGTGAGTGCAGGACAAGAAGATCTGACAGAGCAGGATGAAAACCCAGCCTCCTCACTTCATCTCAGAGAAAAACGATGAGGAGAGACTTGTGGAGGACCATCCATTCAACAGGCTTTCATTAAAGGAATATTTATTTTTGAGGGTAATGAATGGGGAATTACTGGCAGATCTTCCAGAAATTTAGAATAAACAGAGTGGGGAAGAACAATGTAGTGACAGTGGGGAAAATCAAAGTATACAGTTTAACAACCAGATGTRTTACTGGGAGTAGGAGCATCAGTTCCATTATTTTCTAGGTTTATCAGGTTTATTGGGCATGTCTCCATGTCTCCCTGCATGTCTCCAAGAAATGACTTACTTCTTACATTAGAATTGGGTTATTTACTCATTTCATTAATTCCTAAGCATAAAGAGCTCACTCTCAAAGGATTATGGCCGAAAATGTCGTGAGACCAGCAAAGCCCAGGGAGTACCACAAGTCCCCRTGATCACTGAATGATGAATTGCACATTTGACCCTTAATTAAACCAAGAAAAATGTATGAAAACTTACCTAACACAACTTCCAGCAAAGGGATGAAATAAGTCAGCATCGGTAAACTGGCCTTTGATCTCTCTGAGCATGTACATGGTTTAGGACAGCTGCTCATTTTGCTCATGGATGATCCAGASCCTCTTCTTTAAGAGACCTGTTTTCATACACCTGGGAACCATGCCAAAGCAAATAACTAAAGAATGGCAAAAATAGCAGATTGACAGCAAGAAGCTGTTGTTAGCCCTGTCTGACATAAATCATTCCAACTTTGAAGATCTGAGGCTTTGTGCCTGGCAMAAGCCTAAGCAGCAAAAGCCTTTCACTTGTTAGTATTACATTCATTAGCACTATTATTACTCTTCCTTTCACTTGTCAAGCATTACATACATGCTTTAGAATCCACAGGTGAATTAATATAAGAAAAATCAACAACTCTTCATAAAAACAAGTAGTGGACTATGCAATTTTCTCTTTAAACCAAACTGTGTGTATTTAAGAGGAAGAAAAGAAAGTTGCTCACAATGGTATAGCAAAGTAATTATTAGAATCAAAATCACAAATTCARTAGTAGAATATCCCAGACAATTCTTGCCTTTTTTTWAATAAATTGAATGTTGCCTTAAATTAACCAGGTGGTAATCTTCAAGCTATGCTTCCAACATGGCATCACAGTGTTCAGATCAAAAGCAAGGATGTGTGTTCCACATGCAGTTTCACAGAATCACAGAATTTCTTTGCTCTGGATCAAATTTCAGTCAAGCAGCAGGCAAAGAAAGATTTYAGAATGAACTAGGAGTGTCTGTACTGATTCTTCAATTGTGATATAGAAGAATCAAGAGGAAAGAGCTTAAAACTTACTACACCAAACAGCAGTATGATGYTAGTTCACCATGAGGCAACCTGCATAGTTTTTAAACTAATTTTGGCCCAGGATGATGCTCACAGCCARCACATGGGCACAGCTCAGGGAGCAACACATGTCACTGGTTGATCCCAGTAGCAAAGAGAATAGAGAGCCCATTCTCTCTCCCTCACCAATATTATTTGCAAGAATAAACATAGCTGCAGTTAAGAGGCCCCCCATCACAGTGCCCTCATAGGTGCTCCCAAAAGATAATCAAAGACATGTCTCAGGTGCTCTAAAACACCCCCTTAGGTCCTCAGCAGAGAAACCTAAATTTCAAGTCTCCTGAATATCTCTGTTTTGTGGCTCCTGGAGAACCTGGTTACCATTTTTTGTAGAGATTTTTTTTAAAGATCTCAGCAATACTGCTTAATAGAACAAGATAGATTTTTAACAAGTGGTTTCTTCTTTTTCCAAATACAAAAATAAACAAATGTCACAGAAACTTCTCCACATCCTGATCCAGATTTATAGAATTTTCCTTTCTAGATGCCTCTGATATCATTTCTCAACTCTTGTGAAGAGAGAATAAACTTAATACCACAAATATCTGCCTCATTGCAAGGGATTTTTAAGGTTGCATTGGAGGTTCTAATAGAGTGAAGAATAGAGAGAAAGCAGTTTTGTGTTTTAAAATAAACTTAGAACTGAGCAATAAATGGCACAGAAAGCAATATGTCAAAAAGGGGACAGAAAAAGAAATGCCAGCAGAAGTATACTTGCACTAAATGTCCCCTTAGCACAGAGAGAAAAAGCAAAGGTTGAACTTGACAAGGCTGAAAATAAATTTGACAACCTCAGACAAGAAATATAAAATGACCTTGGCTACACCAGCTTGAACAAGCAGTTGTAGACAGATGGACAAAGAAAAAAGACCAGTGTTTTGAAGTATTAAACACTGCTTGGACTGCAAAGACAGTTCATTTAATTGATTCCCAAATAGGTGAACTAGATGTCACAATTCTATACCATTTAGCATAAAAAAAACCCAAATATCTTCTGAAAACAATCCAAGATGTCCTATTGTGGCTAAACAACAGTTTTTTCATTAGAGACAATTGTGATAACTGAAACTTAGAGAAAATAAAAAGTAATGGAACCATTGTAATTACATAAAATATTCAGTCAGCAGATATATTTGAAGCACAGTGCAAGTTTATCATTAATTAGTAGAGTACTATTAGGATAACTGAATTAAGAAAAAAATTACACAGTARCATTGAAACTCAGGATAAATTTATTGTTTTGCTTAATAAAAATGTTGATCCTCTATAAAGCAGGTGACAGCAATTTATATATTTTTTTAACTTCTATAGGAACATTCTAGTCGCCRTGAGCCGTGAGACATGGGAAGCATGTGCATGGTATACAGCTCCCTGAAACGCCTCCTTATGCTGGCCGACCAGTGGTTTTATTGGACAGAACTCATAAGTAACACCATGAGTTGTGTTGTCTTTTGAAATCGTAGATTAACTCACATGTATCTTGTGTGCACTCATCCCTGTTATACAAGTGACCAAAGTCATCTCCAAGTCTTTTTGGAGTTTAGAGATGTTCAGTAACAAAGAGTTCCCTCTCCCTCAGGTTGTCACCAGGTAGTTTTACCAGCATAAGGTTATGGTACAGATGGTACCTTYGCATTCCTTAGAAGTGTGCAGATATCAAATATGTTTGATATTATGTTTACTATTTTTCTMTTCCGTGACAAGAATAATAAAGGGCTTTTCGTGCTAGAGAAATATCTGGCTCACATTTTTCATTCACTAAACACCTACAGAAATAATAGTATTATCTTTAACATTCAGTCTGCTGAATTTTCTTCTACATTCCAGTAAAACCCTGTGTGTATAATCATTATACTCTGCTAATTCAGAGTTTGTGGATGGTATAGCATTATAGATTTGCTTTTCCCAAACAGTAACTGGCATAAAAAAACTAAAAAATAATATTTGATCTTGCATTTTTCTTTTCAAAAAAGCTCCTTTATACTGTGCAAATATATTAAACATGAAAGCTCAATAGCATTTTAGAAACAGTTCTACTTTTTCCTTGATAAAAACACACAAAAATCTGGGGTGAATTCCTATGAAAAAAGAAATGCTGAGGTATTTTTCAAAGCTAGACAATAACAGTCATTTTAGATCAAGCTCTCAAATGTTTTCTTGGATGAAACTTTTCATCATTTGCCTTCAGTATCCTTCAAATGTAACATCAGTTTAAGATTTTGACTGTATCAGAGCTCCCTTTTTTTATTCATTCAGTTCTCAATGAAGACTATTTTCAATATATTTTCCATTAAAAAAGAAGCTATTTTTGATGGTTTAAGTTAACTTTTTAAACTTATCTGTTTTAAAAGAACTAAATATTATTCAATGATAATACAGCTATAAATTAACCCCAGGTTCTTCACAATATTTTAACAATTTAGGACTACTAATCTTGTGGGGTATTTTTATATATAACAACCAGCAAAATACTACATTTTTCCAAAGAAATTTATCAGGTAATTTGTACTTGTTGATTCATTTTTTTCCCCTATGTACAGAAACAAAAAGGGACTGATATGCATTTCTAGCCCTTTTTTTTCTGGTCTTGAGCTGTAAGCAGATAAATTTAGGATTTGAGATTTCCTTAAGAAGTATAAAYTTCAGTTCTGGTATTGTATAACCTSAGATGATATTCGGATGTAGTTTTCTGAACGTAGTAGGTATGAGGTAACAAAGTCTTGGTATTGAATATCGCTAAGTGAGCAAAAGGAAATTCCACAGTATCAGAACTAGTTTGCAGGAGTTATTCAGGCACTGCAACTCTCAATGTGTAAATTATGTTACCAGCACATCATTGCTTCTCTCAATTAAATCACAAAGTAGAAGTGCTGCTGCAAGGCTGATTAATGTGCATTTCATACTACTGATGAATCCATAAGGCAAAGTTAAAGCACAGCTGTAAAATGCCTAATTATAATAATAAAATAGACATTAAAATTCCATGTTTAATTTATACAATTATAACTATCATTGATGCATGATGAAAATCATTCTTAACACTTGTAACGGCCCCTAAAAAATTGTTCCTACCTGGAAATACTATGCATCTTCTTTTTTCCATAAACATTATCTGGAACATAAGTTCCTTTGTGGAGAACTGTGGAAGTCCATACCTGGCAAATCACTGAAGAAAAACAACGCCTTCAGATGTCAAAGTTGCCAAAGGGTCCTGCAGAATCTTCTCCACAGTGCTAGCAGATGGCAAACTTCAGATCCTATTAATAAAAAAATTCCATCAAGCATATTAAAGCACCTGGGTGGCGAATATTGTAATACAATAATGAAAAAGAAGGGTAAATAATCAGCTGATGAGACTATGGAAAAGGTATGGAGGAGGTACAGAGTCTTGCCTGACCCAGGGAATGGTGTAGGGTAAGGGCAACAGTTAATCTGAACACGAAAAGAAGAAAGAAGCTCAGGTAAATACAACTCAAGGAGCCTATTCTGAAAAACAATGAAGTTAAAAGACAGAAAGTCCTACAAATTGTTCTGGGTTTGACATCTAATCCTGGTGGTCAGAACAAGCTTACAGTTGATGGGACAACGCAACCACTCTGACCAAGATACCCACACGTGAGGATTTTGCCCTTGTTTTTCTTTTGGAAAAATGAGGAAGAGAGGAAAATCAGGGTTAGAAGCTGAAGYGGAAAAGCCACTGACACTAGCAGTTCAAACACTCACTGTCCAAGTATAAAAAGTTTATCCATGTGAAGACAACATCCTGGTTTTGAGAATGACAGTATCAGTGATAAGTCAAAAACAAAATGTCACTTTTTTACTTTACTATTCCTGTAAGCCCTATTAGATTCTGTTGTTATTAGTTATCAATATGTATCTTGCATGTATATTCAGGCATGAAAAGGTAAAAATGAAAATCTGGCAAGATATTCACCTTCCTGGAACAAAGGTTCCAGGTTTTGAGTTACGGAGACATTTCTTATACTGCTTAATAGATAACAACTAAAATTTCTTAGGACCCAGAGCTCTCTAACATTGTATTTAATMTATCTTTTACATATCCATGTTACAAATCAAATGTTTTGACATTAAAATTGTTTCCTTTTTATTTGTAATCTAAAGTCCCCAACCTATGCTTTGAAATCATAGAATATCCTCTCAATACTGCTCATCTTYAACTTATACAGTGATCTCTATTGCTGGTAATAAACATAAAATGAATTCTGCTCTACAGAAGGGCTTTTTTTTTTTTTACAGCCCAAAAGTCACAAGAAATTTGCAAGTAAGATTTATTTTGGTTGTAAGAGTCTTTCCCAGCTTTCAGTTTGATTCTTCTGCATATGTCCCACATCTCAAAACAGCCAACATTAGTAACAGAGTGCTACTTGCTGCATATTAGGGAAGAAAGCAAAGGTGACACCCAAAATAAACAATTCTTCAAAACACATAGCTATTTTACAGAGGTACCTGAACATAAAAGTTAAATACTGTACCAGATTGACTTATAATAGAGCAAAGTATCAAAGCTGCCTGTGACTGACATTTCTGACTGCTGGACCCATTTCTATATGCCAAGAGTTACGAATAGCTACTATCCRCTGCACAGTCATTTAAGAGAAAGAATAAAAACTTTCTTGTATCCCATAAACCAAATTTTCAAAACATAAAACTTAATGTGGTCACACTTTCTTTTCAGGTTTGCTGTCAGACTGAGATATAGTGAATACTTTGGTCTGGCAAGCAAAGATAATTCTTTAAAAAAATAGTTGGACCACTATAACAAATTATTAATACCCAATACAATCATTCTTCAGAGCATGAGCTACCAAGCCACTTTCAATAGGAATAAATGTCCTCAATTGGATTTCTTCCTTTCTATAAAAATCCAGTGCTGGTCTTGGCAACAGATAGTTTATCAAATGGAGACATTCCATGTAGAAATATCTCTCCTAAGCAAATGTGACTGACAAAATTCATGCCTGCTTTATAGTAACTTCTTTTTAGTTGAGCTGAAGCAGTAAATTACATAGTTTAGATAATCTGTGTATTTCATACATTTTAAATTGTTGCTTTTCTTGTTGAATTGATCACTTCATTATTTTTAACTGAAATGGAGACTAAGATGACCTGATATCCTTTTTTTTATCACTCATCATTTTGTAACAATTCAGATCTAGATAAGAAAACTACAGCTGCATATTAGTTTATGGCTCTTATATCAATGAAACAAGCAAAAAAATCATTTTTGACTGTCCACATTTAATCCATTTTCTATGATGCGGAAAGAAATGTATTTTCTAATGCCTGGAAAAGTTAGTGCACCAAAATGTCTTGCTCACACCGGGCCACTCTTGCCTAAACCAGTCCTCTTTTTGATCTGTTTGAGAGGAGAAATTGAGCACCATATAATTAAATATAAATTTGGGTAAAATAATGAAAAGCATCAAATACATATTAAAAATAAATACATATATAAGCATGAGTCAACATAGATGTCAAATCAAGATATGCAGAACCTTACAGTTTTCCATACCAATAAGAATTTCTTTATTGTTGAAAGTCCATTGATAAACAATTTTTAAAAAAATCATACTATGTAAATGGTGAATACATCAGAACTACCTCTATCCAGAAAATTCAGTATTTTAAGTTAGAACTGTAATGCTATCCACAATCTACAATTCCTTCTTCAATAGCATTTGAAAGGCAAAAATTATAAACATTTATTAATAAAATAGAAGGTTAGGCTCTGGAAACAAAATTGACTGAACAACAACATTTTTTCAACAAATGCACAATGAACTAAATCACATCTGCCAGCTGTGTGAAAGTGTAGAACAACCAAAAACTGCATTAATTGTATAAGAAAAAGGACTTCTTTACACAGGCCTATAAATATATGCACATGTTCTCTCCTTGATATCCCACACAGAAAACAGAGCTGCTGAAAAACAAACAAACATATTATATTGGACATTTCCAACTCAAAACATTTCTCTCTTCTTCCTTGAGAATTTGATTTTTGGACCATCAGAGGTTTTTTGATCCCTTGTTTGTCAGGGTTTGTTTTACCCTACAAACCTCTGAAAGGATCAGAATTTGACATTTACCTGAAACATCTAAGTAGCTCCTACATGAGTCATTCTGCAAGTGACTCTTCCCTTCACCTTGTCTAGAATAACTCAGCCTTATATTCCAGAAGGGAAATAAGTCAACAACCATCTGCTTTTCCTGTTACTATGATACTCATTTCTATTGCACTATTTCTATTGTCATAGCCGGTGACTACAGCCTATTTTACTGAGTGTTTGCCGACTATATTACAGAACAACATAGTTCCTCTCATTTTACTCATAAGAAACTAGCAAGATAGTTCTTCATTATAGAGTCCTCTAGTATTTCATTGCTCTCATAACATTTCATGCAAAAAATAGAGAAAAGGAAATAACATAGTCCTATCAAAGCCTGAATAATCTTCACCTATTCAGGAAATATAGCAGATATGCTATAGTCATACTTCGATTTRCAAATCACCTATTCATTCACCAGGATTAAAGGCTATTAAATCCTGATTTTGCATTCTGTGTAGTCTACAGCATGAAAATTTCCCCTTTGCCGAACAGTTACTATTTGGGAGCTTCAGAATTCGCTCTGTCAAACTGACTGAGCCACAATGTTACTTGTCCCCATTTGTCTCCATCTTGCTCATTTTTGAATGAACACAACTGAAGTCATCCAACTGTTCATCATTTAAGTTCTTAATGTAATACTCATTTCTAATTCCCCAGAAACCAGCAGAAAGAACTATAGCACTAACGTTATCTTTCTTAAAAATAAAGATAAAATAAAACAAAGTAAAACTAATTATGTCTATCTGAACACTGACTACAAACTGCTTTATCTTGAGAAACAATCCCAAAGCAGCTCAAAGGAATACTGTTTTCTATTGAAATAGTTTCCAAATTTCTTCTATTTCTCAGATAACTGGTTACAATTGTCTATTTTTCTCTTTCTCTCTTCTCCCTTATTTCTCTCTTCTCTCCCTTATTTCTCTTCTCTYTCCTTTCCATTTTCATTTGCCTTATTTTAGTCTGTCCAGATAAATTTCAGTAGCCCAATTCTGCCCCGACATACTTTATGTGATCTTATCRCCTTTTAATTGAAGATTTGGAATATGAACATGGCAAATCTGCAAATCCTACAGGAAATAGCAAAAGCAACAACAACTGGCAATAATAAAGCAACTTGCACTGAATAAAATTGAGCTGGGAGACAGGGAGGAAGCAGGAGCARAGCAAAAATAACTCCTCTTTCTCTTTCTGCATCAAAGGTTCCTTTTCTATATTCTATATTGAAGGTCTGCATCAAATACCTGCTTAGGTCCTTTGATCTGGATTCAGTAAACATTTAAGTACCTGCTTAACCTTAATCACATGGTTATTCATAAGACTGCTCTACCTAAAATGATTCCCCACTGTCCTGCTCTTCCATGAATATTCCTTAATTGCTTCAGGTGAATTACAAGTGCACACACTGGTACAGGCTGAGATTCCACATGCTTATCCTTTCTGGAACCGCCATTTCTTATCAACATTGATTTAATGAAAAATTACAAAAGGAAGCAGTTTGTCATTTTGTACAGCTGCCTATCAATTATTAAGCTTTAATTATAGTGGCTTTACATTTTTTAATCATTGGAGAAAAGATATTTTTAAAGATTTTCATCTTATAATGGTATGCCTCAGCAGTAGGCCAAAGCCTTCCTTGGCATTTTATAAATTTAAAGGCAATCAACATCAGAAACTSACCTGGAGGGCTAAACCTGCCATCATTAAATTCCTTAGGGACTGTGCCTGTATCTGAGGAAACAGTGTATTGCTTCCTCACAGCCAAGTTCCAGAAAATGCTCATAAAAAAAAAAGTGATACTGTCGAATTGCCCCCCCCCCCTTTTTTTTTTCCCCTCCCTCCTTCCTCTCCTCCCTAGTGCAGGGACGATCCTGACTAGAATGTGATGCATTCTGGCAGTTTTGGTCAGTAGAGTATTATATAGAATGCCATAGTCTTTACAGCAAAATATCACTTCTRCTTTCCTCCCTTTTATGTAGAATAGCACCCTGGCCACCTAAGAACCAAGCCCCGATTCTTTTATTCTAGAAGACTCAACTAAAGCTGTTTTTAGATCATATCAGGCTTAAAAATCTTTCTTAGTCAAGCAGACATTGATTCTGCCCTTGCATTCTACCACTGATTCTCGCAGTTGGGACTCTTCAARRAAGTTTTGGGGAATTTTGGAGTTTGCAAACTAAAATTAACACTAGAAATATCAAAAAAATCCTCACCTAGAAAGGCTGAATAGAAGATATTTCTTCATATATTGGAGCCCTTTCATTGCGAATTACAACTTGATTAAGCAAGAACAACTCTGRTATTTTAAATCTGTAACCGTCTTTTTTTTCTTTCTCCGAGATCTAGGACCTTGAAAAGATATAGTAAAAAGGAAAATATAATCTCTTATCAGATAAATGTATGGATATTCCTTTCTAAGTAGTCATGCTGAGTTGTAATTAAAATACAGCTCCATGGTTGGTATATAAAATGCAAATAGTGGAAGGACTGATTTTTATATTGTGTAGCTGAGAAAGTTAGGCTAATTGCACAATCTACAGTTCTCAGGGATTATAAATTAAACAGATAGCTCAGCAGTGAGAATTCAATTATCTCGCTAAAAATTGCCTTCTCAGTAGCTGTGTCATRTGACCAGAAAGACTTTGAAAACAAGTAGACTGCTTAATTCATGATTGGTAGAAGAACTCAGGCTTCATTTAAGACAAACACCCACCTGAACTAATACAAACAAAAACCCATGAGATCATGAAGGATCTCATTTATAGTTGCTCTTTGCCCACTGGCCATACACAACTGAAAGACATCAGCCTCTAATGCTCATTGACTCTTTTGAAAAAAGCTGGATTTTTACATATCTTTTAGTATAAGCTCATTTATGTAATAAGAAAGCAAGCAAAATAAATCTTTAGGAATCACTTTGACTTGCCGTACCRGTACCAGGTAGATTTTACATATTATTCATCTCTCATTATTTGTTTGATAGGATGGTAATTGTTAGGTCCAGTATGTCTACAAAATATGTCACCACAAGGTCAATAATTTCCTTGATAGTTAAATTGAGTTAGCAGAAAAGAAATCAGGATAGAGAAACATACTAGATGACTAAATGAAAAATAGAAAAAGGAGAATCAGCTAGAGTGAACATAAAAGCATTTAAGTGGCTGACTATTAGAGACTAACTTCCATGTTTATATTTATTTTTCCAGCTATATTATAATTATTTTGGATTGGTTTGGATCATGGTATTTTCCATGAATAAAGCAAATAGCTGCATTGTCACTTAAATTGCAAAATAAGCCTTTTTTTTAATCTGTTGTTGTGTACTTTGGGATTTACGTTATCCTTGACATGAATGAGACAACACTGACAGCGTCGCCTCATGGCTGTCTGCTGAAAGTTTCATTCTTTTTCTGAGAATAAGGGGATTTGGCATTTTTCTCATTTCCAGACAGCTACATGTGAAGCTCGGCAGAGTAGAACTGTTTTAAAGAAAATCATGTGATTGCTCCTGCACTACTTCTGAGAGAAAAATTATTCAAAAATATTTCCCCTTTTTATTTAAACACTGTAGTGATGGATGGTCTTAAGAGCATGATTGTGATAAAGAAGCAGTGGAAAAATGTGCTTCTATTGAGAAAATAAGTAATAGTATCAATTTAGTAATAATATTTATAATTTACTGTGAAAATAATCAAGATTCTTCCTTTGAAAATCAATTTCAAGTAGATGGTCATCAATAAGTCATCAAAATTTTGATAGGTGTTTGTAACTCAGGTATTATATTGTCATTAGAAAGATTCTTACATCCAAATAGTTTAAAAATTTTGACTATTAATTTGTACTTCAGTGGGTTTTTTTTTTTCTTTTTACTGACACGCCTATTTTAAAAGCATTTGTCAGAGGAAAGATCTTTTAACCAAGACACTACAGCAGTGCTAAGAACCCTACTCAGAATGTTGTCTTTATGAGCACAGAATAAGAACACTTGCGTAATGAGTTTTGCCAGACTAAGCTACCCATTCAGAGAACTTTAAGTAGTCAACTAACAGCTCAGTCTTGCAACTGTGTAAATCTTTACAGTCTCCTTCTAAYGGTCAGAAATGATGCATTTCTGAATTTCATTAAGTGTTCTCAGTAAAATGAATTCACCACAGCACCTCAAAAAAGCACCCATTACACACAAAAACAAATACCTGTACCATTAAATCTCATGGCATAGTTATTAATTTCATTTTTGTTTCTCTGCTCAAACTGCTTAAGGCATGGAAAAAGGTAAAGGCTGTGAAAAGTAAAGGCCAGGAAACTAAAGACCATGTGAGAGCTGAGTTTCTCAGACAAGTGCTTCCAAGTGCCCCGGTCACTATCAGGACAATGCCAGAAGAAAAACCATTCCCCTCCAACCTGCTCATTTTAGTCTGATAGGTAGAGCCTGGCCTCTAGTGTGATATCCAACACCTTCCTCCTACAGATTCTTAGGTTACCCCTACAGAGCATTCAGGGGTACTAAATTTTTTTTTTTTTTTTTTAAATCATGAAACCAAAAGAGACAGCTTGCATAGGAGACCAAAGCAGTAAAGACAGTGCTGTATCCATCTTCATCATACAAAGCTATTGAGCAAAATACATCTTCCACTTGTGTTACAGGTTTCAAAATCTTTCCTGAGAACAGGCAGCCGTGTTCTGAGGTCTAGCCTAATCCCTAGAAACTTGAAAACATAGTCCTTCACTCAAGACTAAAGACATGTTTATCTTCTCCAACGTCTCTATGAAGATGACGTAATCTTAACACATACAACCTACTTTCAAAAGCTTCAGAACATGGCAAATTGCTGGTATTGCTTAAATTTTCAAAAAGCAGTACTGCCCTAGGTCAGATAGCTCTCAGGAAGACAAAGGGCTTTTGAGCTCCTGCCCACTAGATAAAAGATGAACTATATCTAATTGTTTTCTTCAGSACATAATTTTAAATCCCACTTTAGAGCTCTTAGACTTTATCCCTGGTGAAATAAAAAAGTTAGTCCACTGTAATCAGGTACTTTGTCTTTTGTCACTGCAGATTTCCTGAATTCCAAAGGCATGTTAGGCTGTTAAGTACAGAAAATTAAAAAAAGTATTGAGGACATATGTTATATCATCCGTGGAGCAGATTTAATCCATGCCTCTCTGAATTCTCTGAACTGTTGTTTGCATTTAAATGTACTGTAACATCTAACCAATGCTCATTCCAGCTAAACAAACATCCTGAAGAACTCAACCAACACAGACAAGGTCAAATGGAAGACAGAAGCTCTGTGGAATAAGTAATGATGAAAGTTCAGGTGGTGAGAAAGGCAGAGGATAAAAACCCTGAAAGATGCAGACAGATATTTATCACAGAGAAGCTCCAGCTTACCTGCACAATCAGTCAAGTCCTGCCCAGGGAGTAGTTTTTAAGCACAGCAATTCAGGACTAAATATTAGCACCCAAACTCTAGATAAATTGCATAACAAAGAAAAAGACAAAAGAAAAAAGGAATTTTGGTGCATCAGCAACATGCTGAATCTAAGTTAATTGCCATTGGCATCCAGCAGGGCTAATTTGTCATGGGAGAATATTAAATGGCTTCCAGGTCCCAAGCTTAGTCTCTCACTCTTGCAGGGCAATGTGACAGCCCAGGGCACCACTCAGGTGTGCCAGCTTACACAGACTCAACTCACAGGTTTCATCAAGGAGGCAGCCCATGGTGCTCTCTTGCAGCAGAAAAAACACCTAAAAAAAATCATCCTCCTCATACCACTTAACAGCCYAGAATACACAGTGTAAAGATGCAGTATGAAATCCTGCAGAGCAAGTCTTGGCTACTAAACTGAAAGATGAACTACCCCTTGACTGAAGAGGGTCAGAATTTCCTTTTCATCATAGCTAAACTCAGACTTCTTATACCAACATCAGCTACCATTATAGTCAAAACTTTATTTTGACTTTAATGTAGCTGGAAATTCGTCCTTAATGTGTATGGATCATTTTAGCCATATCGGAAATGAGCTAACCCTCCGGGCTGAAAGTCTTTGACATCCTTTTCATTCTTGCAATATTTGAAAGCTTTTTTTTTTTTCTCCTTCAAAGGATGAGGCAAAGAAAACTTTCTCAAATGAAACTGCAAGTAGAAGTAGGAGTAGGAGAAGGTAAATATTGCCTTGGCTTAAATGTGTAGGACAGTTTATCTGTATTCTTGGAAAAAAACTGTCAGAATTATCACAAATGGCAATGCTCTTGATTGTGCTTCCTCCAAACTTCACATATCCATCAACAAGTGTAAATTACACCACTACACTTTTATTTTCTGTATTTATGTATATTATTATATAGTACTGATGAACAGAACTGGACCTGTGTATTCCCCCTTTTATCRTATCGCTATTTGTCATGTTTACGAAATAAAGTTGAGAAGTCAGCATTACTTCATTTTCTTTTCTTGCCTGCTTTATTATATGCTTGCATGCTTCAACTGCCAAAGTATATCTAGAGCTCTTTCAGTCTAGTCTTTCTTTACTCATCAGTAATTTCTGTGTAAGCACTAATCTTTCCTTCAGCCATAAATTTTAATCTTTTTCTATGGTTTCRAAATGCACTGGAATGGCAAATTTTTCTGCTTGTACTACTTAGCACTAGTATATCCTTTAGCTCCTTCTAACTCCTTCCAGGACGTTGAAGAGGTTTGCCAACCTTCAATGCTTTTGTCTTTAACAAAAAAGTATTTCAGCAGAATACTTAATTCCTTCATAGAAAGGGTTTTTTTTTTTTTTCTAAGCTCTTTGCTTTCTATTTCAAGTTACACAAGAAGAAAAGCAATATAACCCTTCCAGTATAAAGGACAGTTCTGAAACAAAAATAACCTCTTCTACAAAAATGACCTCTGAGATGAGGATGCTGGTATCTGGAGTCAAAAGRATAAATAAAAGCTCAGAAAATGGCAAGATTATTTATCTACACTTGGGTTCTTACAATTGCTTACAATACAAAGTGAAGGAGGAGTTTAATCAAAGACCACAAAGCTTAAGAATACCATTTAGCAAGCAAAGAAGATGTTAAAGCTTAGACTGTCGAACAGACTGAGAAACTGACTTCCCACTTACCTTATCCAGACTTTTTTCTCCAGGGGGCAACTGTCAGTAGCATCATTGTCCTTCCCTTGTCCTGCGTTTGCCTCAGGTGAAAGCTGCTCTGCAGAAAGGTTGTTCTCAAGCAGGTTGTGAGGTAACAAGAGAGTGAGACCCACACGCACCAGTGGGCAGTTTCTTCCAGTTACTGTAAGCGCAATATATCTTCCATCTGTGAAAAAAAGGAATTAGGAGGTCAATTTGGATACAGGKGTCTGTTTATGAAAATAGGTGCAAAACAATCAGCATTCAGAAGCTTCTGGCAGTTATCAAGAGCCATATTGGGTTTGAAAATTCAGTGTACATTTTCTGCTGATATTTCTTGTTTTCCATTAAAGGGCTCACATATAGGCCAGATGTTTTCCCTTGAGATAATATGAACACAACCAGAAAAATAATCATCCAAGTAAAAATGGAAATTTGCCAAGATAAATTCAAAACAAGATTTGAATGACATTTTTCTAAAATCAAATATTTCCTACATTACAAAATACAGAATTAGGTACTTTTTTTTTCTCTTTTTGGCACAGGAGGGTCAAATCTGTCACTTTCCCTCAGCCAAAGGAACTAGGGTAAAGTGAAAAAGTAAAAAAAAGAAAAAAGAAAAAACAACACTTGAATAAGCAATAAATTCAAATATTCCATTTTATATTTAAAATTAGGCTTTTTCTAGAAATAAGCCTACCTTTAATCATGAGAAAGSAATGAATGCCATCAAAACTTACAAAAATCATTTAGTGAAAATATGTTTTTCTCGCAAAGTATTTGTACAGTGTACTGAAAAATTAAAACTTTTAAAAAATAATACTGAGCTCAAAATTAAGGGAATATATTTTAAATACTTAATCAAAAGGTCATAACTCTCATTATAAACATTAACAGTCTAAAAATACATCCACACACTAGCAAAGCCTCTTATAATACTGCATCAAGAAGGGTAATCAAGCACACTAATTTGACTATCATCTCTCTAATTATTCATTCTTTACAAAGAGACTTTTCTTCTTGTATTTCTGACAACGTTACCAAGTTATGCAAGTTTGATTCACAACTGCTACAAAACCAACAGGGTTATACATTTATTCTCAAATTGCCACAACCTGTTTACCGTATCTCTACCATCTAGAAAATCTTTGATTTGTGGGAAACGTTTCACACACTGAATGCTAGCAAAATGGAAAATGAAACCATCCTCACCATGCAAAAACTTCTGATGACAGCACATAAGAATGAAGTTGCATAAGTAACACTGCACAAAAATCTCAGGTCAACTACTTACACAAGCAATCTTGTCTGAAACACAAGCCAACATTTATTTCCATGAAATTCCAGCAGCTGATTTTAATATTGTCTACTATAAGTTGCCATCCCAGCTACTAAAAAATAAGTATTCTGATCATTCTATTCTCCGAGAAAGAATCTTCCAATGAACTCTTTCTGTTAAATTCACAAGAAGTTCAATTCAGTTATTGTTGAATTTAGGTTTTGTGATGGCTTAGATTTATATTTCAGCAGTTTCATCTTCTGTATAAAGGTTTAGGCAGGTAACAGTGAGGGTTTACAGTCAGAACCACACATGTGACAGCTGAGTCATATCTCTTAAAATAATGAAAACAAGTTTCCTCAATATCACAAGGATTTTTGTTCAGAAAAAAATGCTTACAAGTACTAACTGTAGCTTATAAGCCTATGGGATGACCACAGGTCACAGTTTCTAGCTTTTTTCCTGCAATCACAAGAGACAGAACTTTTAAAGTGTAAAGGTGACCTTACCCAGTCCTATGAATTTATCAGTTCCAACTTTAAGAGAAATATCCAATATAGAATATTCTATAGAAAATTAAAAGCTGATCAACCCCATCCTAGCACAAAAATCATATATTTAGATATAAATCACAGTATGCAGACATTATGAGTTATTTATATTTTACCAGTGTGTTTTCATCAAATAGCACCTGGACGCCAGCTGAGAACTTTCCTTTGGATTAATGCAGATTGTTGCAACATAGGAGTTCAGAAGCAATAGCAAGAGATGCAGAAGTATTTTCCTAGTTTTCAGTTGAGAACTGACAGTTCTCCAAAGTGAAGTTCTGCCACCCCCTGGGATTTTCTTCTATTCTTGCTTTCATACCCCAGTATACACAAGGTCAATCTCAAGCAGACACGGTTAGAAACGTAACAGTGGCTTTTTAATTTTTTCATATGTATTTATGAATATGTGCAATGCCCTAGAATTCCTTAGGAAGGGAATCATGTGTGAATAGTGCCTGGCTAGCCTGATTTTATCAGCTTTCTTTCAAGGTCCTACTGTCTCTTAATTTCTCTGTGACATACAGAAAAGTGGATCTAAAAATATCCACCGTCTTTGAACTTGTTGAGTCCTATGAATTAAGTTACTATATATTATCCGCTATTATTTCCCAGCAATACACATAGAAGTGAAAACATTTATTTTAGACATAAGATATTGACTCTTATTAAAGCTCCTCTAGAACATGATCCTTTTCTCACCAGAGCTAATAAACGCARGACAAACTAGAGTAAAAGTGCCATCTAGTGACAAAACAATTCCGAGTGACATTAAAATACATGAAAAGTTTTCTGCCGTAATTTTAGCTCACTACACAATAATTTAAACAGATCGGAAGTTTACTCAGAGCCACGGTAAGCTTTCTGCAGATAGGAAAATACATTCTTTGAAAAGAAACAGACATCTTTTTTTTTCTATGTTTATGGTTCTTTCCATGCTACCCATTCTAAAGTTGTGCACTATATGAACTCTTTCATGTAGTAATTATACGAATTGTATAAAATTTTATTAAGTTAACCAGAAATCAGGTTGACCACCACTCTCCTAGCAAGACAGTTGAAAAGGCAGCTTCATTCAGTGAACCCCTACAGGTTTGCAGCTTCAAAGCATCTGTCAAAAGAGCCAAATCCCAGAAAGCTTTAAGGCTGGCATACCTTTTTTGTTGCATACTTTCCATCCTTCTCCCTTGGGACATCACTGCTTTCTCATCATATTAGGTGAGGTGCTGAATATACCTCTACTCCATATGCTGGGCAATACTCCAAAAACAAAGTATCTATGCTTGAAGCTTTTAAATGYTGAACCACGTGTAAGGCCAAGGGCGTTATCTACAGTTCAGGAACACAAAGGTTTTGTGGCAGGACTGCATATCAGCTGGCTCAACAGCTTCTTATCACACAAAGCAGAAAGCAGGTCTGTGCATCAGACCTGTGCTCATTATTCTCTAGATCTTGAGAAAAGTTTATGCATAGTTGGAGATGCCTGGGTGCTCTGTCATATTTTCAATTCCAGGTGACCAGAGATGGATACCTAATCCTTTGGGCTGCTCTTCATTCTGCAGATATTCTTGCTTGTTCCAATACTTTTGCCAATTTATTCAATTCAGTTGCAACTTGTCTTCTTCCTTCAACATTATACCTCCTTTTCTAAAAAGAATTGAACTGAGTCAACATTTAACACAAACCTAGCTTTGTTTACATATTTCCCTATACTATCTCTATGTGCTTTTCCATATGCCTTTTTTTTAACCATTCCCTAAGTGCTGCCACGACAAATGTGGTTAAGATAATTAAGTTATTACATTCAAGGGAAGAGAAATAAGAAGTAAAAGGGTGAAAGTCTTCAGGTGCGTGAAGGATAACAACATAGAAAGAGTGTTCCTTTCCATTGTGTCTAGTATAAGAACTGCTAGAATTAAACTGCAGGAAAGATTTAGGCCATAAGGGARAAGAGTACTGAGCAGAGATAGAAATAGTTAAGCATCAGAATAAACTGTGCAAGGTGATGGTAGAATCTCTTTCACCAGAAGCCGTTAGGGAAGAGGCTAGAGCAGCCTTGGTCAGGAGCGACACAGAGGTGGTTGATTGTGCCTCAGGGCAGGTAGGTGACTTCCCAAGACCCTTCCCAGATCTCTCTTCTAGGATCCTACAAAAGTTTAGAAAAAATAATAAATGGAAGGCAAGTATGTTTTATCTCCACAGCAAAACAATTGACATGAAAAAACTCACAACATACCACATTCCATAGTAAAATAATAGATGTATTAATATAAATAATGAAGTTGCCACCATAAAAAATGAGACAAAATCAATTTACTATTCTAGGAAATGCTTGCATATAAATGTATAATATTTCATTTCTGATGCTATTCCAACAGCCAAATTAATGTTGCCCTCTATTTGCAGTGGAAATGCATTTTTAAAATCACATAACACAGATATTTTATAAATGAAATGAGCTAGTTCCAGCTTTCTAAAAAATTCTCTATACATACTGAAAATTAGGTGGGGAATAAAAAWCCACATTTTAATTTAGCCAAGTTGTCCTCAAGTAATGACTGACACTATGAATTATTTTCTTTCCATCCAATACCTTGCTTTTATACATTTTTCATTACAGGAGAATAATCATTCTTACAGAGTAAATAAAGCTTATACCAAAAAAATTCCTTTGGCCATGAAACAATTTATCTGTGATACAAGAAAGTTCTGATCAGAACTGAAGCATCAATGAATAAGAGTGTATGGAAGAACTATTGCACTTTACCTCAACATTTTACTTTTCTTTCAGAGAAAAAATTAAGGAAAATCTAGATAAAAAATAACAACAGTGCTATAGGAATGTATCTAAAAATATCTGCTTTCTAAAAAGAAAGGTGATTGCTCATAAATATCTGGCTTCTGCTCTCTTACAGTGTCATGGTGGGGTTTGTGCTGCTTTGATTTGATCTCAGTATAAAAGATTGTCAATGATATWTGCCATTAACCAAAATATCAAAGCTTTAGCTATTTATGTTCTCTGTTAATATAAACAAACTGAAGCGCATTCTAAATACAAAGCCAAGGGTTCTTTATCAAAATAGAGATTATTTTGTGATTTCCTGCCCCCATCCTGAGAAATGGAGAGAATGGGAGAAGACAAAGGTTGTAAACAGACTCATTTACAGCAAGATATCAGAAAGCCTGAGCAATGTAACGCATATTAATGCCAATGTTTTTATCTATGAGTCTAAAGGTCTCAGTGAATTACATATTAAAGTGGTACATAAATATACAGAAAGGTCAGGTATTCTCTAATGWAGCTCTTTGTAAATGCAATCAAAAGGATCTCAGGTAGCAACCAGGGGCACCTGTAGGAGGCAGATCAAGAAAGTTCTGCTTTTCTGTTTCTATCATGTTAAAAATCTCAATTTTTACTCAGTCATGTAATCCCATTGAAGGTGTATCAACAAAGCTTATCTGGGTTCTCCATCTGTATCTATAAAAGTAAGTAAAATCTGTAGCAACTAATCTAAATTAAAACTAAAGCAAATATGCAATGTGATTTAATAATCTGATAATCTGTGCATAGTTTATTCAGTCTTTATTCAGCCTTAGCATTTGTGCATACATTGAAAAAGGTGACCTGAGATATATGCCATCTCAGCTCTGCTGTTCCCTGAAATTTCTTTGATGTTGTACTCTTCAYGTCAGTTGTGTGGAATTTAGTTTAACTCTTCTCACTACTAAATACCAAAAAAGCAAAGTTTAAAAGGAAATATTTCATACCTGTTTACTTTATGCAAAAYCCTTTGAAGTAAATAACTTCATAATCAGATGTCTATTTTAACAATYTCATGAAATATGGTTTTAAGTCATTCTTATTCTCACTTTAATGCTTGTAACTTCTCAGATGAACATCAGATATGCAGCTACATTACAAATGCCTGATCAGCGAAATTCCCAATGCCTGACAGGTGAAATTTCCACAGAAAATTAGGAAGATAAAATACATAAAAAGCAATACTGGAAAAGCAATTTACTGGAAATAACCTTCTAGCCTTAATTTAAAAATATTAGCCATAAAACTATTTTWAAAATAATGTTAATAAGTAATAGAATAAATATTCCACAAATAATATTTATAAATAAAATTTTATAAATAAATATATTCTATAGATAGATAAAAAATAGCACTTACAATTTAATTATTTGTATCTTGGTTCACTTTCCTTTGCAATTATGCTGCAAGGATAACATTTTAACTAGAAAAATATTTCTTATTTAAAAATCACAGCATTTGTGCACATGCTTCAGTACTCCAAATTACTCTTCAAGCAGGAGTTTCAAAGTGCTAGAATTTTTCTTCTAAGTATGAATGTGTCTTTCCAGTCTATTTACAAGGCATCCCTTTGAAAAAAATCTTTCCTCCAATCTTTCTTCTACATATATACACTGAGGGAATAGCTGCATTTCTTCTCTTTACACTCCACCTAAAAAAATCTTCCTTCCTTTCTTACTTTTCACATTTCATTGTTAGGAGCAGAACTGTACTGTTGTTTGATTTTTTTTTCTTCAAAGTTTAGAGATTACTCCTATACTACTCCTACAGTGAGACTATAGTAGTCTAAAGAAAACATGTCAATATAAAAAGAAAAATGGAGGGACCTGGAAGATACAAAAGGTAATTTAGATTTAGAAAAGATTATTTATGAATTTCAATAAGACAACATAYAGGAGACGACTATAATCATTAAGAACAGAAAATATCAGGCAATAAGACAAGAAAGAGGTAGCTAAAAATACAAAAGTGAAGCACAATGTTTTAATTGACAATAACAAGGTATAACAAAACCTGTTTGATCCTACAAGTATTCAGAGTTTGGCCTAAGTAATGACCAGGAACAGGCACAGGCTCTGCTTTCATTGCAAAGCRCAGAATGCAGCACTTCATATTAGCCAATTGTACCAAAAAGCTTCAAGCATTCACTAGAAACTTTCAAGTGCATATATGACACAAACAGAATTAGAAAGCTTTAAGTTCCTCCTGATCTTTGAAATGGATGAGATTCTACCTTTCATTTTTGTATCTGTGATACAAAGACAAAATTGCAAAGTAATCAAACTAATCTTATAAAAATCTTCTTTAGAACTTCAAAGTGAAGAACTGGTTTTATAACACAGAATAAAAAATGGAGAAAATCAAAAGATCAGAACCTCTTTAGTGCCTGAGTGATAGTGCCTTTAGTACCAGTCTAGTGCCTGACTAGAATATCTATATCTATATTTTTATATATATATCTATATTTAGAATATTTATATTTCCAAAAAATGAACAAGATCTTACTTTTACTTAAAATATATATCAGAGATGAAGAGTACCTTGGTATCCATAACCCTTAAATCTAAACCAAATCAAAAGACATTTTAATAGTTACCTATTTCAGAAAGTCGGCATGACTTTCAAGACAACACAAATACAATATCATCAAGCACTCTTATGTTGGTTGGAGTTCTTGAATTGGCATGTTTTATTTTTTTATTAAATGAAAAGGAATAAAGAAAGTAATAAGAGAACAGGCCTACAAGATCCTCCTGACATCTTAACTCCTACCATGCTGAGCACTCTGACCAAGAAAAAGAACAATCTCCAGCCTCTACAAGAATTTTTACATGAAGAACAGGTCTAGCTGAACAATGTTTAACTTGCAAAATTAGGCAGACTAACAGCTCAAAGACAGCACAACTAAAATTATAAGTATTTATCTGCACTGAAGGTGCTATTTTCAGAGCAGTAAGATTCAATAGATCAGTTTAGCTGCTCACCTACAAATAGCATTTATATTTTAATGTCTCCAGCAGATTAATTCTTTTTCAGTACTATGATAATCACCTTAGTCTTTCTCACAACAGATGAATGAAACCTAATTTACTAGTTATTCTCCTGTTGAATGCTATACCAKGAATACTATGGATAGTTTGAGTTTGAATCAGCATTTCAAGAAAGACAGGTAAAGCTAAAACCTATTTACTTGCATAAGGTGTTTCACTTCAGACTGCTTTGAGATTTACCCTACTAAGCCACAGTGCTGTCCCAAGAAAGGGATCAAACCTGCATTTACTCAGGGCTCGCACTGTGAAACATTTCTGAAGCATATGTAAAAAATTGCCATGGTTGTCACTGGTGCATCTTTTGTGACACTCTTGATAAGTGTCAGGCACTAACATCATGATTTCCCCCTTCCATATGCAGTCCTTTGCAGACACCTGGACTGCAAGCTGTGAAAAACAGGCAAGAATTCTGAAAGCATCTGCTGAAAAGTGTTCACATGATGCAAGCATTGTGAACTAGCACCTACTGCCGGGGCTCATTTAAGTTACRTTACTCTTCTCAAATGCTTTCGTTAACAAAATCAGAAGTATGGGCAGGATACAGTATCACATGGTAAAGGAAAACCCTACAGACTCCAATCTTCACCTACATAAGAGAATAGCTCTAGCATCTGTGGCTGACAGCATAATGAGATGTATCACGCTAATTTAGATTAGTATYAAAAAATATACTTTCTTATTTCTAAAAAATCAAACAGTAGTTTTAAAGACTCTATCCTTGCAAGCCATATTGATTTCTCATTTCCACAAAAGGAGAATTTTGACCATGGAGCTGAAATAGCTTTCCCCAGTGAAGGATACATTCTACCTTGCAGTCACTAGATTCTMTTCATAGAATGCAGAAGTCTGCCAATTGTAGGGTTTTTTTTTTCCTTCCACGAAAACAGATTTTGGTTTTGGTGACATTAGTCTGATTTTAGACTAACTCCAACAACATCAATTGCCTAAGACATCATTAAAAAAACACCCCACTGAACGATACTTTGCAGGTGCAAAGCTACTCAGAAGGACAAGTGAGACAGGCTGCTGGCAGGAAAGCTCTTTTAAAAGTCCYGAAAGCTCTGGAAGGCAGGTGCTCATAAGAAGCAAGCACAAGTCATTAGTCAACAAGCTTCAGGGTAGAGCTCACACAGAGCACGATGCATTTACCCTGGCATGTTCAGTACTATTCCAATGAAACTCAGGAATTATGCTGACATCCATCAGGCTACATTTGGCTTCAAAAGCAGCAGCTGAATATTCCTTATTTGTGGACAATATTTTTCTACAGCATCGTGTTATGCTTAAAGCTGATCTCCATGTAATGACAATATGATGGTAGTACAGGCTTAAACAACATATTCAATGTGCCCACTGATGATTCCTAGGCCTATGTTGACACTAAGACTGTGTATATAACATGCATACACTCAAAGGTGGAGTTGCTAATAAATTATTGCACTGGTGACATCATCTCCATGACTATCCTTGCTTCAAGCCTGAACTAAATGGGACAGTGACTACAGTAGCATAATTTCCCTATTACCTTGATTAGTAGGCCTGAGCAATAGATAGTTGAGGCTGAAGGACAAAGCAAGTGGAAGCATTGTTAGCTACTCTTGCAAGAGATTTGACAAAAAATATCCCAATCCCCACACACATGCTATGGGATAGAGAGCATAAAATTTATATGTGAATAAGTATCTTACCATTAATTTTGATGTTACACYGCTTTAAGGAATGTCCAGAAATAGTGTCATCCATCTCCACTGGACTCCAACACTCCTKATAGTGTTTCAGCATTGCTGTATTTCAAGTAAAAGGAAAATCTGTTTTAAAATGGAGCCGTTCAAAGCTTTTGCAGTATAATACAGTCCCTTCTAATTCTCTCTCAGTGAAAAGTAGGCCATGTCTTGCTCCTTCAGCATTAAGCAATTGCAGTTTAGAGAAAGACAGGATAGAGAGCAGCATCTGCTTGGTTGGCACTTGCTGCTTGTTGGCAAAGTAGAACAAGTTATGAGGGAGCTTGCAGAGAAACACATCCAGCTTCAAGTGGTTTGTAACAGGCCTCTGAGGGTACAGATTTACTGGGCATACAGACAGATTACAGCATAAACTTGTCAGGCTAGTTTCACTCTTAGCTGTGAGAATAAAAAAGGGAATGAATGGTGGGGAAGAAACAGATTACATAGTAGGAGACAGGGGAACAGCTGGAGAAGCAAGATGACTCCCATTGTGTCTCAGCAACACACAGCGCAGAGGAAAGAGTGAAGAGTTGCCCTTATTCCCTGGAAAGGGTTGCTCTGCGAATGTGAAAGATCAAGCATTACCAGATTTAATTTTTCAAGATAGGAAACTGTCTTGTAAATTAACGGTTTTTAAGATATATGACACTATTTTCCAAGGCAACCACATAGCCTTCCTTGCATGCTTATGTTCTGATAAAGCCGTTCTGAGTTCCTAAAAATATCACACACAATCAGAAAAAGCTGCACAAACATGAATATGTTACCTTTTTGTGGAATCATTAGTCCATGTTCCTGGCACATAGGTGAAGAGACATGAGAGGGCAAGTACACACCACTTGACAATAATTGACATTTGGCATAAAAACAATAGAGAGAGCTCCTCCCTGGAAATACCTACTTTCATAGTCACACACTCTGATATGGAGTAACAAAACACAAATTATTGTGGATAGCAGTGCACACAGCTTTCCAAGGAGAGGGTTCAGACACTGCTTCTCTGTCAGGTAGACGGTTCCAGCAGGTATCAGGAGTGGCAGCAACATCTTTCGAGAGAGCAGAGGCCACAGAATCATTAAGAGGAAAAGTAAGAGTCAGAAGAAAGTACTGGGGCTGAAAAAGTTATAGTTGTATGTGAAGATAATCCCAATGTCCTAATTCTAAAGCTGAATTCAAGCTGAAGGTGTCAATCTACAGGGTTTCAATACAATTGCTCCCAGCATTTTATTAATCTGCTGCTCCCTTATGACTCGCCCTGAGACCAGTCCAATTTGCCTCACAACAAAGAAAATACTCTCTATTAAAGGAGAGGTATTTCAGGAATAGTGCAAAATCAAAATAAACTTTTGCTATAAAATAAAATCTGAGCTATAAGCAAATCAGAATTTGTAAGAATTCATCACAAATCCTGTATCAAGTGCTCTGTAATAGAAATCATGCACATTGTACCATTATTTTGGCCCAAATTAAAATATCCAAGCAGCAACACATTTTTATATAAGAGAATACACAAGATTTCCATATAAAGATATAAGAGCTGCTTCACAGAGAAGTCCATGCTTTGTGCTTCTTATACATAGCGTTGTAAAGGGGGTAACAAATAGGCCAGTTTGTAGCCTGTATCTATAAAATTGATTTTTCTTAGCTCAAAAATGAAGAGAAAATATTTTTATAGAACATAAATTCAACTRAAAAAAAATTTAGCTAGTAGCAAGACTGTGGTTTTACAGCTCTCATTGCATCAAAAGCTATTCAAAACAAATACTTTAAAAAGGTTTTTAAATGCTACAAGAGGATTTAAATAGATAATCAATAATGTAAATTACCTTATGGAATTTGATGTTTCCTGTATAATATATAATACCAAAAATGTCTTYTGCTTATCTTCTAAGTGTAAATTTATATATACATATCAATGTTTTACTTCTAATAGTAAGAAAAATTACATCACTTCTGAATACTTTATTATCACATGTTTCTTGAGCCTTAGAAATTTTCCGAAAACTTGTTTTACAGCAATTCCAATCCAACTAAAACATTTCTTAAGTATTACTATTTGTCATAGATTTTGCTAAAAAACTGTACTACCCTAACTGTTCTCAAAGAAAATAGTTAACACATTACTGAGCATAAAACTATTACAGCTTTGCTCTGATTTATCAGAACRGGGAAAGGCAATGGCATTTTGTAGTTTGACATTTGCTAACTAAAGTAAATCATTAACATGCAGTTGCACTGAAATATGTACAGTTACTGACTTTCCAGGGTTTCAAAGGAATTCTACAAAACCATGCCAACTAAAGCAGTTATTTCAAGTGACTCGTGCTTACTGCAATAATCCTTTAGGTCTAATAGTATGTGGGTATTATACAGATACTGCCTCAATCACAGTAATTTCACAGAAAGGAGGAGATTCTGAAGCTCAGTTTCTGTCCTTCTCTGAGGCTGCTGAGCAGAGTAGCTTCCTCGCCTGACATCTGCCCTGTTTCCCACCACGGGGAATTGGCAGAGCCTCCAAGAAGAGACCATTGACTYCCAGCTATGCAGCTCACTGAGCCCCATCAGTCAAAACAAATCACAGCAAGTTGGGTTAGAGAAAACAGGGCTGTAACTTCCAAAGGGGGAAATTGTGTACAGCATAGTAAGCGCAGAAACATGAAGCCCCCACCACCACCTCTTGGACTCCATCAGCATCTAGGGCTCTATTCCAAAGGTGCTGCTAAAATTATTAGCCTTGCTGTTGGATGTGCAACTTCAAACCTCACAAGGGTTTCACAAGAATGAGTTAGAGAAAGCCTTAGTACAACATAAAAAACTTGCTCACACATGCGCGGCAGTGTGAAAGCACARAGCCAAGCAGGATGGTGTTAGTAAGGCTCCATTTCTGGTAATGGGGTTATGAATGTTAACTCAGTTCAGTGGAAACCAAGAGAATATCAAACCACTTCTTTTAGGACAAGACTGCAAACACTAACATGGACCCTCCCAACAAAATTGCTTTGCTCTGTGGTTCTGCTCACTCTTCACGTGCTGTTGTGTGTATTAGCATCTTCAACCTCCCCTCCTAAAAGGTTTACTAGTCTCTGTGTATATTTTTGGAATTATATATTCACTTACCATTATGAACTGAAGCAAACAAAGAGATGAAATAGAAAGTCAGATAAATCCAAGGCATCCTAAATAAAAAAACAAATGATTCTTTAGGATATGCTTAATAAATGGTACATTATTATTTTCATAAATTACCATAACACCTAAGTCATTTATATATATATTGTCTACCATTAATTCAAAATGGTAAGGAGAGTTACAAGCTACCACTGTGATAAGCAATTACGACTTAAATACAGTAATATGCAATATCATCAAAAGTTTTGGACTTTAGAGTTGCAAAGACACAGTAAGACTTGGATAGTCTCTCATTTTGCAGCAGAATAGTTCTTGTTGGTTAAGCTGGAAACAACATTTTATTAAGATGTTATTAACTATGACTCTCTCCTGAAGTCAGGCAGATACTACTATCAAGATAGCAGGCATTTGATTCACACACACCATTTGTAGCAYATTACATAAATCTTGTATCATTTCCTTTTTCCACATGCTACTGCTTAAACTGTGAGAAACTMACCACACAACACAATCCCTAGAGAAATCAACATACACTGCCTTGTTGCTATGAAAGCCTGCACTGAATATCAATTGCAATAACAAGGACATGTCTGAACATACAGTAGGACTGGATGAATGGATGAGGCTTGTTCTCTACTGAAGTAAAAACCAAAATAGTCTACAATTTGTTACATGTTACTGTGTCTGCAATGCTAGCTTGTCTTTAATATTTACTTGGAAATCCTATTCATTTTGTCAGTATTGTTACTGACTTTTGGCCATGTTTTCAGAGCGTAAATCACCAGCCTTGTAGAGAAATCAATAGACATGAATTCCACCAGCTGAGCATTAGTCTCTTGATGAATTTTTTACTAAAAGTCTAACCCCTGGTTCAGATCAGTCAAACTCTCTACTGTTAGCACAAAACCTACATAAAAAGCATAAACTTCAAGAGTAAATCCTTAACTGAGGGCATTAATGTGAAAGATTCAGACCCAAGTAAACAAAAAAAATGGTGCAATGCATGTGAATGAGCAGGAAATGATCCGTTGCTCATCTTTACCATTTCAGACACAGCCCAGAAAAGTCCCATCACCCAGCAAAAGATGGGACTTTTTATAATCATCACATCTGTGAGCTGCTGGCAGCGTGAAAGCATACCTCACTTGCTTTGAATAAGCCACTTACAGAGATGGCAGGTCCTTGTGCAATTACCTTACACTAACTAGTATTTAGGTAATCAATGAAGGAACTAAAGCTAAGCGGATTTATGCAAGAGGAGATTCTAGGTTATTTTTAACAGTGAAGACAGTCAAGCACTTGAGCAGACGCTTCACAAGCATGTAAGAAATGTTTAAAAAGACCCAGTACACAAATAACTTCTGACTTCGGTCACTCATCCAACTCTAGTGCCTAATTCCACTACAGGCAGCACAAGCTGTTACTTCARCTGAACAAAAGATTCCAAAAAGAGAACATACTAACACAAGAATAACAGCAGGATACAGAAGGAGATAATACAAGAGCTGACGTGAAAAGTAGTGTCTGCAGTGGGTATGACTGAAAGCTAAAAGGAACATATGTATGATCCACTTCTCTAAATCCCAGGGACTGTGGGGACAGCCATTTTAAACCACAGCTTATTAATAAGTGGGTTCAGAACAAAAACAACATAGTTAAAAGCCATATAACAACTCTAACACATAACAACATAAAAGCTATGATAACAATGCAGTCATCATATCAAAATAACGATGTAAAAGGCTGGATTAACTGCACAAGCAAGCCATTCATTTTGGTCTGCTGTAAAGAATCCCTCCGTTCTCTCAGAAACTCCTGAAACAACGCATGAAACAACCGCAGGTTTGGCTAGCCGCTTAAATTAAGAAGGAATGAATAAATAAAGTCAGCTAAGTAAAAATGTTTCTGAGTTGCAATAAAAGCCAGATTGTACTCCAGAGCTATTTATACCACAAACTTTACAGTACTATAAAGTAATCATTTGGTCTACACATTCAGAAGAAAAGAGGAAGTGGGGAAGTGATACAAGGATGCTAAACAGGAAGAAAAATGGACTGCATGGACAAAATGCTTAAATAAAATATATTGAAAGCTTCAGGGTTTTTTTCCCCATTAGAAGTCAGGAAATGTGTCTTATCACAAATTAAAGGCTTGATATAAGGCATAAATAACAAGAAAGGAATTTGGTGCTCTATAAAAAACACAAGTAAAGCATCAAAYATGGAAGGAAGGAATATTTTAACATTAAGGGAAAAGAACAAGATGAATGTGGAAGACCTGGCACAAAAGACAAGGGATTAACTTGCATAAAGTTTTAAAGATGAGGAGCTTGAAAATGATACAGGARGTCAAAGCCCTGGAGGAAGACTGAATGTTAAATGTTCAGTAGCAGATGATAAACAAAATAAAGGATGAAATTAGAGCATTTAAACAAAATTCCTGCTACACAGTAAGAGTTTCTCCAAAACCAAGATGAAAAGTTGAAATGAACAAATTAGATGGCATTTAGAGTTATCACAGTTTCAGTTTCTTATTCATCCTAGTTAAACTATTTTTAAAACATCACTTTTTGCCCTGCAGAGGAGATTGACTACAGCACTCTAAACACTCAAAGTTGTTACAAACTTCAACTTCTAATGCTGTGGACTCAAGGGGGWCAGGGGTGGAGATGGAAAAAATGGAATTATTCTCACTACAAATCTCTTTGGTACTTTACTAAGGAGACTGCATGAGAGGTCTATGCACCTCTGGGTTTATACCCATCCGATTGACAGTGAAGGTCAYGCTGTTTCCTACAAACTGAAACAGCACAGACATCTCACTAAGTAAAGCCAGAAATGCTTTCTAAAACAACAGTGATATTTGGTAGTTACAAGAATATACATCCYGCAGGGAGGACAGAATCTCCACTACAAATTAGGTCAGGTTCCTTCTCCCAAAGGGAAAGGCATGGGGTTCAGAGAAGGGGCCACAGTTCAGTATTTTAAGTTCTTCTGTGTCTCATTTGAGACACACATCACCAAGTCTTGACATTAGAAGCCTTGATATTAGGCCAGAGATCAAAAGCATTCAGGACATTTCCATCAGCCTGCTCTGCAGCTAGGAACAAATCAGACAGCTGAGTCCCTCCCCCACATAGTTTTAAATCAATTAGTTATGGACAGATTATCCTGTTTGCAGATGACTCATACCAAGTTGCAATGCAAACAWTTTTTTTCCTTTTTATTATCTCATTCTACATCCTACATTACTAACATGCAAAAACTTTCACAGACGAATCCTTTATTTAGCACATCTGTCTAGAAGAAGCTTCAAAAGCCAAGGAAAACRGCATTCTTCAGGCACTGCACACTATTCACACAATTGCACCCACTACTGAGGGAGCTTGGAATAAAGTTTTCAACCTTGAGAGCTGCTTCCACCACCTCCACATACTCACACACACACAAAAGCCTTTTATTTTCATCACTCCTAGCAGTAATCTTTGTCTACATGACATAAGAATGTGAGAAATACCCTACTGGATCAAAGTGATAGTGCATTAACTCCAATGGCAAGAAGTCATATTATTCAGGGAAGCAAATCTGTCCAGCATCTACAGTACATATTCCACTAGTATCCAGTCATGGGTCTCCAGGCATTAGAGACTACCATCCCTGCCCAGTCATTTGACATCAGTTTAAGAACATGTTTTCCATCATGAATTTTGAAAAATCTTTCCAATTTGCTGGTACTGCTTTACTTCTACAAATTCCTGTAGCAACAAATTGTGAAGCTTAGTGTCTGCTCTCTACCAAAAAGTCTTTTTCCTCCCTCCCCCAACCTAAACTCTTCACACTCATCTCCTGGCTTTCCATGCATTCTGCCTAGTTCTAGTGTTACAGAAGCTACCCACGTTGATTGCACTCACCAGTGGTATGCTATGCTCTTCCTGTATACGCTTAGCAAAATTCTCTCCCCTCTCTGACACTGAGACGATTCTTCAGGAGGTAAGAGCAGCRTTTCCATCTTGTAACACACAAGCACAATCGGCATGAACTGCCAAGTAGGACAGACAGTAAAGAACTTCAGTGCTAGATGCTAGAGAATGTGCTTCTGAAAAGTCTGCTGTACCATCAGTGTTCAGGGCTGAGTGTACATACAGGTGACTAAGATGACAGCATCAAATCTTTCCTTCAGCAGTCTGGACATTTTGAGAGAGATCTAGTGGGCTTTAGAGTTCCTGAAAGCACTGAGTTTGAATCAGCCTTTACTTACTGTGGTAATGCAAAGAAAACCAAGGTAGATGAAAAAGCATCCATTCCTGTTTACAATTGCTGTTCTTCAGCTTTAACAAGGTTAAGAAAATTGTAGCATACATTCACAAGTCATCCCTGGAAAAGCTTAACCAAAGTCACTCAAGAATATACACAGCAATTGACCCAGAACAGTAAGAAATTTAACAGATTATACATCTARCCTTCCACAGAAAAGTTATTTTAAGACAGCTATTCTATGCTTGGCTTGTTTCCTTAGAAATGACATAGGTCAGTGAAAGAAAAAATCTACCTTGGATGGAGATATAGCAAACATAACGTACCTGCTGAGCTTCCAGCACCACAGCATCTGATTATAGTTACTGATAATGCAAGAGGTCCCATAGCAGGCTTGACAGTTCGCAACTATGCAGCAAAATGACAGTACTTACCCTTTGTGGGTGACTGTCACTCCAGGCCCAGGAATGATTTTCATTTTGCACTTTTATTTATTAATGAACAGTGTCAAAAGCATTTCAGAGCCCTGAGATCTTGCTGTGAATGTTCTGATRTTTTAAGTATTGTTTACCTTATTTTTTCAAGAGAATGTTCACTCCATTTGAAGCTTGAAAATAAGAATCTTTCAACTGTTAAACTTTTAGTACACCACCTGGCAGGTCCCCTTCAYGCTGAATTACCACTTACTATCTTCAAACCTATATGTGGGTTATTGATGTTTTGGTGATTAACTAGTTTGGCAATGTTCATACAGTTGAGTTCTCAGTAAAATTCTGGGTAATAATCTTTTTAACTGCATGTTAACAGCTTGCCACAGTGTGGAATTTTTTCATATGTAGCTGAAATATTTTCTTAAGTAGCCTAAAAGTCACATTTGGCTCAAAAGATACCTTTGAAATACATCTCAGCTCCCAAGATGAGATAATGCTGAAAACCTTTGCCAAAAAACATTGCTCAGTGCAATGCAGCTCATCATCAGTAGCCCCACTTCCATTTATGTCACCGCATTAGTCGTGGTCTAAGCAGGAAAACCGCCTCCTGCTAGGCGGCTGTGACTTCATCTTGTGTCTCATTTTTTGAGAGCAATTGCAGAGCAGCTATAGGTAAAACCTACCAGAAATAAAAGTCTTGGTCAACAGTATATAGATATTTACACCTTCATGCACAGATGCAGCCATTGTCTTTGCCCCCAGGTAACAGCAGCTTCTTTCAGATCCAGAGCCCTGAGATCACTCAGGGCCTCCCAGAGCTGTCACTGCCTCTTGCTACTACCAAGTCCTCAGTGGTGGTTTCTATACAGAGCATTTGCAAGCTGCACTCAAAATCACTTGCATCAAAAGGGTGCTGCAGCTATTCCAGATATTTATCCTTCCAATATACTACACTTCAACTAAAGAAAAAGTGGAAATAAGGGAGCACATATTTTTAAATCCTTGACAAAAAGAACCACAATAACACATGTATAGCACCTTCCAGCATTGTCAGGCCTACTACTACAGAAGTTGAAAAGAGTAGATGATTTTTAATGCACTAWTAGGAATAATACCCTATATATACAGCACATCTTTAACATGGCTTGAACTTGTGCAAAAACACATTATCTTTTACCTATTTCTAACTGTGGTTCATTATAAAYAAGAATAAGTATACTACTTAGTTCTAGGAAACAAACAATTTCTTAAAGACAGACATTAACAAGTTACAGAAGAAAATGTTTAAATTATGAATTCATGCCAAGAAAAACACTATCATCTTAAATGACTGCAATAATAACGTTAATTAGTGCTTAGAGAAGGTGCTTTATTTCTTTCAATCTGATAGGAAGCATTTACCGCTGTAGGATCAAGTGTCTGAACAGGAGACAGGGAGGTGGCAACAGATGAACAAAACACTTGGAAGTGGTCCACAAGACCCTGAAATGCACATCCATAGGAAGATGATACAGAGAAAACAGTTGATTTTTTTATAATAGACTTCTTTCACCAGCATATTTAAGATTAATTTTTTTTCCATTCTGTTTATTAATCTCCAGGAAAGCCTAGTTGTTCAGCAAAGTCATAGAACTTGCACCTCTCTAAGGAATGTATTTTAAAAAGTCCTTGTACACAGCCCTGCAAGCACAGGAAGACCACAGTCAAAATACCAAGAAAGTGCTCCTTTCTCTGGGACTAAACCTTTCCTTTACCCTTGCTATCACCCCTTGCTTGGAGGATAGTCTTGAAGGGAAATGAGGTATTGCTGGAACAAAACACCGCCGTTTGCCTACCCCACAACTCCCAAATCTCAAGACTATACCCTGTAAAGGCCTTTGCTACCTTGGTGATGGACCCTCCATAGCACTTCCCTCATTTACAGGKGTAGAAGTGACAGCATGTACACCAAAGCCACTATAATCTCCAGCAAATACTCCAGAACTGGCCAAGAATACTGAGCAAATCCTGCTAAAACAACACACAGTCTTGCTGGAGAAGACTGCCCTGTAATGTAACTGGAATTCCCACCTTCTCCATCATGCTCTGCTGCAGACATGCCCACCTGGACCTTGCCTGCTCACAAAGAAGGGAACTTTTTTCCCAAGCCAGGATGCTCAACAGCACTTATTGTAAGTATAGACCATCTCTCTACCCCATAGCCTACTGCAAGGATTCCCTATGCAGGAAAGGTTACTWAAGCTAAGGAACCTTCCTTCCCCTAGCCTGACCCGCTTACAGAAGCTTGACACGCTACCTTAGAAAAGGTATGTTTCTACAYGGAAGCCTGTTATTTAAAAAGGAACAAGTCAGATTTTCAAAATATTCCCTACCACCCAATTTCACTGAATGAAGAAAAGGAAGTATGGATTTTAGATCCAGAGTAGATGTCAGTTTAAAAARAATTACACTGGAATTTGATCTTGAAACAAACATAAATCTCTAAACTACCCCCTCCCCAGCATTCTTTTCATTTGATAGTTTACTTAACTGGCCTGAACTGCCCCCCCATCAACAAAACATTGCCACACAAAAGAATTCCAAGGCATAAGAATTTTTTAGGWACCAGATCCCAGGATCTCTAATTCAAACTGTTTGATGAAACAGAGAAATGGTTGTTTGCAACGAAGCTGAAACGACTGTTAGTTTCTAACAGGTTACCAAAAGACCCCACCAAAGGTGCTAGTATCAACCAAGACCAAAAAAAAAAATCAAACTATGAACRAAGAGTGGACTTCAGCCATTTCTTGGAACAAACCTCAAGACCATTAGAGGTACTTTTTTTGTAATCAACTGTTTATAGGTAAGTTGCTATGRGAAATTGTATTTGTTTATCAAATTGTAGTTGGTTACTCAAGATATTAGCACACTCTCTACAAAAAATGCAACTAATTGCACACTAAATTCACTAATACTAGTGATCCAGCTCACTRCACATTGAATTAGTAATAAAATGCATATATGCAAAAAAAACAACCTTAGTATCCACAGCAGCAAAAGTAAACAGGAAAAAGCTCCTAGCATTTCAAAGTACTTTGAGAAAAATATTTCTTGCTTTTATCTCTTTTTGATATTTCACCTCTGACTAGTTACCTGCCAAAAAACTTCACAAAGCTTCACAGAAAAAAATAATACACAGMATATCAGAAAAAAGTTCAAGGCTACTCTTACCATCACCAAGGTAGGAGAACACTGGTACCTAAATGTTAATTTTGTAAGGTACTATACCTAAGTAGCACCTTAAAAATATATAGGAAATAAATACTTGGGTAGTACCTTATAAAATTAAAACTTTCCTCTATATATTTTGCCCTTATTTGTAAAGAAAAGCACATCCCAAAACAGTACCTTATTGCATTTATTCTTTTAGATCTGTGCAGTAATTGAATGTTAAGTGGCACTACAATGCTCTATATAGGTTAGCATGCATTATGATGCTACCTATTACTTTTAGTAGTTTAAAACAGGAAGCAGAGTCTGGGTTCTATTTCCATCTTCCTCTTAGCTCATCAAGTCACTTAAAACTGCATTTTCTAAGTGATTACTCATTTTGAAGCCAAAGCTTTTGAGCTACTGAGAAAATAAAGCTGGCAATAGAAGGGCATTCTTATATGACAGATAAAACTACCTCTTGTACAAAGTTGACAAGCAGCCTTTCCATGCAGATTTGCAATATTTCACAATATATTTTTCCGAGTAAGCAGATTTTTTGGCCACTTGAAACAATAATAGTAATAACAATTTTAAAATAGTTTTATTCATTACTATTGCTTCAATAAGATTAGAAGAATATGGCCTTATTACCTAAATGGCCAGCACATATAAAATCCTTTTTTGAAGTACTTCTTTAGTTTAGGCATATACATTCCCAGATAAGCATGGATCTGCAAAATTGAGGTCCTGGGACATGCAGGGTATCTACGAGAGAGAGGAGGAAATGAATTCAAGATATGAACTATTTGTGCTCTTTTGGGATACTTTGATTACCATCAACTAAAATACCTGACTAAAAAACAAGCATAATATGAATACTTTAATTTGTTAACTGATTATTCCTAAYAGATGGTTATAAATTTAAACAGTCTCTTCTAAAATGTTACAAATAACAAAAAAGCTCGGTCACAAAGGAATTCCATCTGGATGAGCAGAAACTTATGTGTAAATGCTAAATGATGCAATACCATAGTTGCCAACTTGGATAAATTCAAATCTGAGGTCCAGGTAAGGAATACTACAGTTTTCAATAATGCAGAGGCCTCTCCTAAAAGCTTAAGTAGAACCATCTAACTAAAAAATGCTAACAGAGGCATAGATTTTCCCTGTCAAAGTGACATACCCTGTTCCTTCTTCTGTACCTGTTTTGTGTGTGTTTTGGGTTTTTTTGACAAAGCCTAAAAGAATAAGCTCGAGTACTATGAATAAAATACTTGAATTTCTACAACGTGTCCAGAAAAATATATTACCATACTGTTCTTTATAAATGCAGATTAAGTCCCAAACTGAAAGCTCCCAGTTTATTCTGAAATAAAACCAACAGGCAGACAAAAAGACAAAGGCAGCAAAACAAGAAGGATTTGTGTTAGTCATATACAGTTTGATTATTAAACAGAAAATTTTCATCTATTTATTAGAATAAATTTAGAAATGCTTAAAATTGTTACCATCATCTGAGGGAAAACCTAAATCATCCCTACATGATGCTAGATGTTGGGCTTGACATTTAGTCAGGAAAGATCCTGGTCATCAGAGCAATTTACAGTGAAAAACCAAACTGTTACGAAAACACTGGTCCCCATCAATAAAGATACTGGGCCAAAAATAGAGAGCATCTCTTTGTTGCTGTGTAAAACTTGATCATTCTCAAAATACAAAACTGTGTGCTATTTGTTTTCCCTGAATCTAAAAGGGAGGTATTGGAGTTGGATAAGGTCTACAATCAACTGAGGGAAAGAGAAGTTGCCTGCAGAAGGATGGCTAGAATGGCTCAACTCTTCTTTTCGGAGCAGAGAAGGCTAACAGGCTATCACTCAAACTAATAATAGAGCAGTTGAAAAAGATTAAAAACCAAAACAAAAAAATACCCACAACTTTTCCCCTTCTCAATAAGGCAGGAGTGACTTTCAAGAATCAGTTGCTGCTAAAGCTTAGAGGCACACAGTATTACAGCAGGCTCAAAAGCTGATTAAAGGTAATCAGAGGCATCAGCTCCACAAACCACTTCCAAAAGGTATATAGTTTTTATCTTACCAACTCCAAAGAACATGAAAAGAATCACAGCTGAAAAAACAAGCATGGAAAGCACTCACTTACTGATTTGGTAAGCCACTGCACTACTGGTTAAACAAGCAGTTACATGGAAACTAAAGTAGAAGTACAGGTCCCACAAGCCACCTTTGCATTAGTGTGACAGAGGAATAGAAAGATGTTCTAGTCCTGAACAGTTAGAAAATTGAAAGTGTTTTCCTACTGACAAATAAAATATTTGCACTTTTCTAATTGCTAATATTAGCAAAGATAAGCACAGTTTAGCACCACACCAACAACAATTTCAGAGATTGCTAATATGTACAGCCTTGCACCTACAGCATTTTCAAAGCTACCGATAGGCTTTTTAAGGTTAAATACGCAAGCATATAAAGATTTTATGTTCCTCATAGCTATTTTAGATTTTTACAAGGCAGTTACTACAGCACGTGCTTCAATGCCCAGCTGCAACCTTGGCACACACTTTCACATTGCACACAGGTGCACGATCCATGCAGTCAGAGCCAACCCTACTCACACTTGCCAGCCCTCCAACTTTGGGCTGCTCAGTCTCTCCTGTGAGCCCGAGACTCCCTCTGGCAGCACAGGCAAAGGTGGAGAGAGCAGCCAAATCCCACAGGAAGGAAGGAGGGAAGCAGAAATCCTGCCGCCCCATATGCCAGGCACCCACTCACATGGCAGGGCAGCAGGCTGCAGGCAGCCTCCTCCACCTTCGTCTCCACCACCACCTCTTGCCCAAAGCCAAGCAGGGCACTGAGCAGGGCCTTGGCACTCACCCAGGTACRACCATGGCCCCACCAGCAGGCAGGAGCACAAGGCAGGGGGGAAAGSCCACCACAGCTTGCCCAGGAGAGGGTCCAGCACCAGCACCTTCATAGCAGCAAGGAGGGTGTCCCAGGCSCCAGGAGCAAACAGGGCCAGAGGGGCCTGCAGTAGGCAGCAGGGCAGCATTGCTAGGCTAAGCACACACAAGCCAGGCCACACTGCTTGCAGCAGCACGTCAGCAACAAGCACAGGGAGTAAAATGCAATGCTTTCTCTTCAATTAAATTCCTATCTAATATTAATAGACAAAAACAAGTGGCCTGTCATGAGTATAGCTCCCACTCGCATCCAATTCCACCTCTTTTCCAGTGCCCCGTTGGGTGCTGCATGGAAAGCGGTTGATAATGACACATTCTGCTCGCAGAGACTCTCCCTGTCAAGTCCCAGCCTGGCATCAGCCCCATTCAAAGACTCCCAGCACAGCAGCAGAACCATTACAGTCTAACCTCTTTTTCCCCATTGCATGTAGAAATGCTGAGACAAAATGTTTTTGTGGGTTTTGCTATAAAAGCAAACTGCTAAAATTTTCTAGAAAAGCCAAATTGAGACAGAATGACTAACCTGGATATTTCTTGTTATAGTTCAGATTTTAGAAACACAAGAACTTTCATTTCATGTAGCCTTTAAAACACACACACACTTGACACTGGGCATACTGAACATCCCATCCTTACACTGCTCCTCCTCAACCTTCAGGGCTTAAAAGCAGACAGGATTTGTCACCTGGCTCAGGGAGGTCAAGGAAAGGCAATGAAAGCACCACAACAGGGATTATCCTGTTACTGTAATTAGGGACTTCTGCCCTACCACTTTTCTTTAAACAAAGCCTTCCCTTTTCACTTCAGGATTTCCTGAGCAATTGAACCCAGTATATATACTTTTTTTGCTCATTTGGTTTTAATCATAAACCAAAAGCTTATTAAAAGTCAGTGCTTTTCATTCACACATATAAATCATTAAAAAGCTGCTTAATAAAAGTGAAATATTCATCTGAAAACCTATTTTCTAAATCAGTATTTCAGAATTCTTACAGCTAGGGTAGTATGGTATTGAAATGGATGATGGAAATGCCAACAAGAAAAAATCTCAAGGATCAAACACCTCAAAATTGAAACACATGYACAAGTAAACTTTAATAGAAATAAAAGACTACCTCAACTCTAATTTAAAATTACATGCTCAAGCATTCCACAAAACCAAAAGTGGTTCCAAACACTGTGAACATATTTCAGTAAATTGCTTTCTCAGTCTCCAAATCACTTCTAATCTACGGGTTTGATCCTTAATGCTTATGCAATTGCCACCTGACCCACCTGTTTCTATGGAATGTGTCAAAGTAATTCTATTTARGTTCTTAAACTACAGAATTTATCCAGTTTCTTCACAGTTGTTTTCAGCTAAAAATAAAATTACACAGAGAAACAAAAAAATTAATCTAATTAAGTTCCTCTGCCACTCTTACCTGTAATTGCAATCAGAGATCTATTTATGTTCCAGAAGTATCTGTACCTTTACTCAGGTCATACAGGCATACCAGGCCTTGACATGTTTGGTGTTGAGTTCAAGTTTCACTTCAAGGTCTGCATATAATGCTTTATATTTGCATATATCTTGAGACATCTCAAGATAGATGGCCTTTTGGATTTCTGAATTTCAGTAGAAAATAACTTTCAAAATCATTAAAAGTTGATTAAAACAGTTCATAGCCATCTGTCCTAATCCCATTAAAAAGGCTTAAGTAACCCTTCACCGCATGTTCTGAACAGTATGTTCCCAGGGTAAAGTTTCTTTGTTTCTCTCAAAGGTTTTTTTTAAATAAAGTTTTGCTGAATTCTTGCCTTTACCTCTAAAAGTAATATCCATATAATTTACAGTTTCATATGGAAAGTTTTTCAATCTATTTCACTGTTTCTCCTGTCATTTTCCTGAGATAAGCAGAATAGGGTCCATTCTACCTTCTCCACAACATTTGTTATCTTATTACTGCATTCACTTTGGTTTATTTTGAGACAATTTTTTTTTTTTTTTCATTACTTCTAGGACTTCAGTGATTTTCATGCTTCTTAATTCTGCWTTTTTTGATACAGACTGAGATGACTATCAATCACGGTCCATTTAAATATGTCATTTCAGCACAGTGAATCAAAATATCAGCAAGAATGTAAGTCTGGAAAAGTAAAATGTTACAGTAATGATTATATATTTTTCTAATATAAGCAATTGTTTTTTCCTTTCCCCCTGGCCAAGGCTTTTCTAATTGCAGAACACGCACAAAAGGGCTCCATGATTTCAAGTTTATATTTTCAAAATTCAGTTCACTTTACTATTAGACTTAAGTGCCATCATTAACTGCTGATGAAATGCATTGACTCGTTCTTCTTGAACTGGCCAGTTCAAAATGCAGCGAGATCTGAACATTCCTCTTCTCAAGGAAAGTGYATGATTCAACTTGTAGTCTGGGATATCATCAAGAAAGATCAATATAATGGAGTCACGACATTGTTCAATAGCTTGCTGAACCGCATGATATATCTTAAACCTAAAAAAAATAGTACAAACAGACTTTTTTTTCATAGGAAGAAAGGCCAGCATATAGTTCCCTTAACAGGGCAAATAACACATTGCAAAAACAAGTGTCAGGCTCAAAGTCAGGGCTTTTTGTCCCTTGTGTGATAAATCTTGTTCCTGTTTAACAAATTACCTTTTAAAACAAGAAAAAATCATTCCCTAAAAATAGCCAGTCTGCTCTCTCAATATAGGCTTGTTCAACATGGCTCTTTTCCAGAATGCTACTGAAAGCAGCAAAGATTTAAAGGCAAAAAAAGACTGTCACAAGCTTAACATCTCACCAACTATTGTTGTGCTTTAAGCACCATTCCAGGAGTGATGATAGTTTTACTTTCTGAAAATAAACTGAAAAAACAAAATTGCTACTAATGTATACATGGCACAATTAACTTCAAWTTTTGAAACTTTTAAAATTATGTAGCAGAGTTCTTTTAACTTACATTGCAAACTTATATTAAAGAAATTTATACAAATGTTATGTCCCACTCACCTCTTGCACCAGGGATCCTTCAAAAGATGTTCAGTCACAATAAAAATAATCTTCCTGCTCCTTCTTATACTCTGAATTGTGGCTTCAAATTCAGATATGCCTGCTTCAAAATCCCGTTCTTCTAAACAGAACTTAACACARAACTCATTATTTTCTTCCAAAGAAATGAAGTTCTCAGACACCCAATCCTTGTCCCTTTTTGCGTGAATAACATAGGCATCAAAAGCAAACTCTTCCGGCTGTCTGTCAATTTCTTTAAAACCAAGTACTCGATTTACTGAAATATTCCAGTAAAAAGCTATTCTCCAACCTTCAAAATGGATGAGAAGAACAATAAAGATGAGCAGCATTACTAAAGTAGTAGTAATCACAAAAAGTAGTTGAAATGGAGCACTGTCTTTACACGCTGCACTATCAAAATGCAATACCAGACTACCATGATATTTAGGTGGAGTGTTGCAAAGGTAACGGTTTTGCAGTCCAGGTATATATGTCCGGGTCACATTAAGCCACCCAACAAACCAAGCAATACTTTCACAGGTGCAATCAAATGGATTAAAATCCATCTCCAGTATCCTCAAGCTCTTAAAAGCTGGGCCAAACACTTTTTCTTCAACAGAGGTTATTAGATTTTTCTGAAGGTTCAATGAATTCAGAGAAACTTGGTCATCAAATACAGTTGCTGGAAGCAAATTCAAATTATTTGATCCCAAATCCAAATCATTTAGCTGAAACAAACCCTTGAAGACCTGAACTGGAATCTCATCAAACCCATTTGATTTTAAGTTAAGAATACGCAGTTTGGGAAGATCTTTTAAAAAAAGCACAGGGCCACCTGGATTTGCATGTTTCCAAAGCCGAGCTAAATTATTGTGCTGCAAATCAAGAATATCAAGTTTGTGAAGTCCATCAAATAAGTCATCTTTTATGTTTGCTATGTTGTTGTTGCTGATGTCCAGGACTGTCAGATTTTGTAGAGGGTGAAAGGGTGAAGGAGAAATTGCCARACTGCTGCAACCTACCTTTCTCAGCATCAGTTTTTTAAGGCTTGGTACAAAAGTGAATGATTCACTTTGCAAAATCAAGTTTTTGTTATAGGAAAGGTAAATTGTTTGTATATTATCAAGACCTTTAAATTCATGACCTGTGAGCTCCTGGCTAATTTCATTGAGGCCAAGATCAAGAACYTTCAGGTGTCTCAAGTAAGAAAATGCTCCACTTTCTATTGTAGAAATTCTGGTTTTTGTGAGGTTGAGAACCTGCAAACTGGAATTAGCAARTGATGAAAATGTTTTATTGGTTATTCTTTGTAAGTTTATGTTGCAGTTACAAAGACTCAGATATTTCAGGCTGTTCAGGCCTGTGAACATATTAGCAGTAATTCCTGGAAAATTGTTATTGTCCATTATAAGGTATTCCAAGTGCTGAAGCCAACGAAAGGAAAAATCTTCAATTTTCCCAGTAAGAGAATTTTTCAGATTCAGATATTTGACATTGGACAATCCATAAAGTGATCGAGAAGTCACATCAGTAATCTTATTATCTGCCAAGTTCAAATATTCTAATTTTGAAAGCCATTGAAAGGAGTCAGCTTCTAAGATGGACAGAGAGTTTTTGGAAATATTTAAAACAGTAAGATTTGTTCCTTGTAGTCCCTGGAAAGTTAACTTGCCAACACTTGAAAGCTTCACTTGGCAGAGGGAGAGTTTCTGAATTGCTGTGTCTGATAATTCCGTACAAAGTTTCCTTGTGCAATTTTCACCAAGCTCAACATTGTCCAGCACGAGGCCATACAGTTTTCCAATTGCACGTAAACATCCTGTATGAAACTTAAAAGAAAAAGAAAAGAATTGACATAAACAAGGCTCTCCAGGCTGATGCAGTGCATAGGCTCACTGAAACTCATACCAACAAAACAATGAACAAGTAGCCAGAGACAAGGGAATAGCATCTCAAGTATTGAAAGTTTAGGCCACTTTAAAMTACTTTGCAACTGAAGTATCAGTCATTTGCAGATGAATTCATGTGCTGAAGGTCAACCAGTTGAAAGCTCTGCAGCACTTTCACCAACACTCTTCAAAGAATCACATTTTAACACTGCTATAATCAGTGGGTATAAAAAGTWAGCAAGCAGTAAGATAAATGACACTTTTTAAAGAGCAGAGACTATTTTTTGCAATGCTCATTTCTGTAGAATAGCTTGCATGCCTAATACAAAGTTTCTCTGATGAGCAGATAGTTAAGATCCAAATTATTTAACTAGCCTTGCATAACACTTACCACTGGAAAGAAATCAAGGATATTGCCAGTCTCTGAATAGAAAAACATTATCTGCTGTTCCCCTTGAGCACATACACAATTTCTCTGCACAGAATATATCCAATTACTGTCCACAGAGCTACTGGATCTAACTCTTGCCTGAGACAACTCTTCTAACTTGAGTTCTTAATTTCTGTGAGAAAAATAATTTTATGCATTACTGACTGAAGATCAGGGTAGTACTAGCTTAGTTATGGGGCATGTTTAAACAAAGAGGTCCTTCTAAAGAGCTAAGTGCATCATAAAATTTATTCCTCCTGTGCACTGTGGACTTTATTACAACAAAATATTYATCTTTAACATCAGTAGGTTCAAAATTTAACCAAAAAAGCTGTACCATAAAGGATAAGAATAACTTCACTTTTACCCAGTTAGATTTCTCAAGTGTTTCCTTACCTCTTTCAGTGGGTTTGAGGACAAGTCAAGCTTACTCAAGGAAGTACTTCTAAGAAAATAGAAGTCTTCCTTTTTCAGTTCACTGATCTTATTTCTAGATAACACAAGCTCATGAAGGCTCTTCAGCTGTTCTTGTGATCCTAGATTTGCTGACTTCAAATTATTATGAGATAGATCCAAAGTATCCAAGTTCTGGAAAAARGTATTATATGAAAAATTTTTATTTACAAAAATATACTGAAATAGTGCATTAGCCTACAACTAAAAATATGTCACATGGCTACAATTAAAATAAATTTGTAATAGAAAAGAATTTCAAGCACAGTTTCTCTGTTAAAGAGGTTCCTCAATGGGATGCAGTAGGGAAAAGGGGATGGAGAAGCAACTTATAAGGATGGTTGAAACTCCAGTGCACTCTGATGCAGGACACTGTTGATTTTCCAAAGGAAAAAAAAGAATATACCARGCCCTTTTCAGAGGCAGGTAGGACATACCTTTTGTTCATACATCAGAATAMAATAGAACTACCGCTCTATACTTTATTTATACAGAAAGCATGCTTTTAAAGCTTACCTTCAAGGTTTGGAAAGGATTATTTTTAATTTCTATTATGTTATATCCTAAATTGAGCTCAGTCAAGTTGGTGCAGGAAGCAAAGACTTTGTCAGAAAGTTCATGCAACTGATTATGTTCTAACCTCAAAACCTGCAACAGAGGCACATTCTGACATAACTTTGGTTGCAGCTTGGAAATGCTGTTGTACCCTGCATTCAAATAAACCAACTGGTTGTAGCGGGTGAGATTCACAGGAGACAGCATTTTTATCTGATTATGAGAAATGTCCAAGCCCATTATATCCTCTGGGAGATCAGAAGGAACTTGAGTCAGTTTTCTGTGACTGCAATCAGCCATTTTATTTTTGATCTCACATGGCTCTCCAGTTGATATACACAGCAAACAGGTAGACACCAGGCTGAAAGATAAGCTGATCCCACAAAAAATGCCACTTCTCATTGCTTTATCTGAAAAGGCAAAATGAAAACAGTACAAATTATGTTCATTGACACAACCAGCTTGTCTAGTCCATAGATTTAACACATGCATCCAGATATCTCCAGGAGAACATTTTTATATAAAGAATTTTATGTTACATTCTCCACTACATCCTGTTTCTGTCATCAGTTGCTCTAATTTCCAATGGCTCAGCTTCTTTCTATTTCACTATACTTGTAGAGAATCAGATTTCTTATTTATTGAGTTTCCATTTAGTATCCATGAGACGTAAAATTAAGCCTTAATAGCTTTACAGGGGAAAAAAACCCTCARCATAGGTCTCAGTTCTTCAACAAATTTAGAACCTACCTGTCAACTTCAGTTTAACAGTGGGTTMGTCTCAGCATGATGGGCCACCAGATATGGAAGACTGTAAAAGCCCCACCACAGAATAAGCTATAGAGAAGATTTTAAGAGTATAAGATTTAAGAGAAACCCACAACAGCTTCTCAAAAGTCTAACCCAAAGCCAACAAGCTTCCTCTACTCAGCAAGCTGCATTTTTCTTGCTTAGAACCTGTTTTTTAATTATTATGATTTAGCCTAAAGCTCATTAGATTAACTCTTCCAACCCCATGACCAGTAATAACAAAACAACAAGTTAAACYGGCATGACATATGTAAGAAAAAAAGACATTTCTGAGCTGATGTTTTACACAGAAGCACCACCCACCATGCAGCTCTAGTACCATAACACCCCAAGGCAGACATCAAAATCTGCAGCCAGACAGGGCTTTAGCAGGCCCCAGTGCTGCCTGGCTCCACAGAGGACACAGCCATTCAAGAGGGAAAGTCACCCTAACACAGCCTGGGAGATCCCGCCAATGCCTCTCTGAAAGCAGCCTCCTCCACCTAGGGAGAGACATTGGTAAAAATCCAGTGTGAGGTGAGACAAGCAGGGAAAGAACCTAAATCATTTCACAAAGGACCACAAAGGAGAATTTAAAGCACACACTAATGAAGCCCCAGTTCTCTGTCAGGTCCTGCCTGGCACACTGGGAGCCTCCTCTTCCCTGCTCCTAGCAATCAGACTGACAGGATGGAATTAAAGTGTGAGGGGGGGATGCCCTTCCTGCAGGCAACCTGACYTGCTGCAGCCACTGGCCAACACAGCAGCTCCATCGCTGCAGCAGAGGAAGAGTGAGGACCAGTTCTGCTTCCTCATTTCTCTGCGCTGCCGGAAGAGCTCCAGAGGAAACCCAAGTGTGAGCCCATCTGTAACAAGGGCTTCATTATCACTGACTCCTCAGAAGGTCTTCTGTTTTAAAACAGAGAAATCAAGTAGCTGCCAGGTACACACTGCTCATGTGTACATATCATCAGCCGATCCTTAGGTTTCAAAGGAATAAAAATCTATATAAAACCACAGACATTTCTTAGGCAASAGGGAGGTCCTTTTGCTGCTTGGTCATCTTGGCTGCAGGAAGCCTGGAGGCACTTTGAGTGGGATAAAAAACAGGAGTGGAGTTTCTTCACTGGATCCCCTTCCAAAGCATGAAAAAAATCAAAGGAAAAGGCTGCAGAACAATATTAATGAACAGAAGTGAATCAAAGTTTCTAAAGCCACCAGCACAGATTTTAGGAAGTGAAGAACAGCACAAACATACAGTGAGCCTTCTGCAGATCCCAGGCTGACATTCTATCAATATTATTTTTGTGACAAGAAATACCTCCAGCCAGCTGGGAGCAAATGCATCTGAGTATAAGCATTAAAGTGTACACATTAAGTAAACAACAACAGTATTGATTTTGCTAACTTGTGTTACACAATTTCAGAGAAAACCCACGTCCAAATTATTACCTAAACTCACTCACCTTTTTTTTTTTTTTCTCTTCTTTGTCCCTCCCCCGATTTTCAGTGAAAAACAGTATTCACTTRCCACTGAGGGCTTCTTCAGCATTCGCACATGCAGGCATAGCACCGGCTGCAGCCCGCGAAAAGCAGCCGGGCAAAAGCGTCAGGGAGAGGGAACAAGAAATGAAAGCGAAAGCAGGAAGGGYGGCCCAAGGTGCAGGCCGAGGCAGGCCCAGGCACACGGCGCGACCACAGCCCGGCCTGGAAGCGCCTCCAGGGTGCTGAGCACCCCAGGACCACGGCTGGGCAGCCACAGGCACTGCAGGGAACCCCCTTGAAGCCCACCGAGGTTTCACAGAAGATGCATGATGCAAAATTATTCCTAGCTTATTCCTAGCTACATTTCAGAGTCTCTAAAAATCCTAAGTATATGAAACTTCAAATTAAATGTTTTATATTAAGTTTGACTGTGGAATACTACTCAGTCTGAGAACACAAAGCACAAAATGCTTCTACAATACCATAATTAGTTTCCYTTTTAAAAAGGCAATTCCTTTTTGTAGGAGTAACATTAAAGTTGAGATAATCAAGTATTTTCTATTGTATTAAAAATAGTTTTCAAAGATCAAAGTTATAGGTGCCACTCTTAGATGGGTCCTTCGGACACTTACTTCCCTCCCTTCCTTGGGACTTGATCATCAGTTTGCCAGAAGAATCACTCAAATGGCAAAGTACTGGGCCTGGTACAATTCATTGAAATCCATTTTTTCTGTTTTGCTAAAGAGGCAATACACTGCAAGAGGCTGAATTTTTTCATCTGCTGCTTAATACTTTGAGATAACAAAAATAACTTGGAACAAATTGTGGTTCTCAAGGACAAATGGCCATCAGGACAAATTACATAGTACCACGCACAGTAATAGCTGAGCTCRTCTCATCTAGTCCTGCTGACAGGAGATTTAATTACTTCATGCTCCAATCACTTCACTATCATTTTGCTTCTGGAAGAAATTTGAAAAAATAGTAGTCTACCATTCATCCTGATCTGTGTGAAAGTAAATTAAAATTGCAGAACCACCTAAAGAAATTATGAGTCACCACTTAATTCAGCACATATGGAARGAATAAACACATATATAATACTGGAAACCGGTATTCAGTATCCAACTAGTAATCCCCAAATCATCTAGGTTTCTAKATCCTCAGATATTACTGAGCACTCGGTAGGCAAGACAGAAGGAAAAAACCCAGTTCACTGTGCATCTACACAAGTAGCAAAATATTATACAAAGTTATAAAATTGAAATATGGCTCCTCATTGTCACAGGAGGACAGACAAAGGTTCCCTAGAGACAAATACGCTCAGCACTAAAACACAAGAAAATAAAACTAGAAAGGAGCATCCTTATCCCTGAGATGCATTTTTCTAGACTGTTGGAAAGTCACTTAGACCACAAAGATCTATAGAACATGTTCACATCAAAAACTATAGTCACTCTGTAACAAACGTAATACCTCCAGTAACTTGCTTTGGGACTGTCTACAACCCCTGTACAGAGCAAATTACAGAGTTGCTCAGCTCTGAGCACACAAACAGTATTCAACAGCTTGAGCCCTGAGCAAGTTTAATGCAATGACAGCCACACTGCATACTGCCTGAAAACCAGGATCTGTTTACACAGATTCAGGAGAGGATTAAAAAAAGCTCTRAAACAACAAAAGCTTAATAACTTTACCTGAGAACATCCTATGGTATGAAATCAGTCCAGGCACAGATGTTGGGTCCCAGACACTGCAGGAAGAAAGGAGGCCTCAAACATATTCACTCTCAAGGACTCCTTGCATTCTTTTGCATTTGCTTCCAACAAATACTGAAATTCACTAGAGAGCAATAGAATTCACAAGAGCAGTAGAAGCAAAGAAATAGTTTTAGATTCTTAACTCACTCAATACTCAGAGATACTAATCAGTATAGAAGCATTTTGTATGATCCTTGACAAAAGCTAACCGTCTCTCACATACTGAGAGTTTTCAAYCATCTGCTAGGATCCATTCAYAGAARTCTGATTTAGTATAGTTGATAYTCCCTAAAACTRTAYTTGAAGCTATTKTRCCAGTTAAGTTTCTGCTTATGGTAGTACTTTCAGCCACCTCTAACATCACCATGAATTTACAAAAGAAAATACCACTAGATGTCAGCATTAACCTTCTGCAAATTAGAAACAGCCATTCAGTTTCACAGAACAGTTGAGTTGGAAGGGATATGGATCAACCCCTGACTTGCTTGCAAATACACACAAATTAGGAAGATATTTCATAAAATTCAAGCTCCCTTAAGGAAATTTTCTAAGCTCATTTCCTCCACACTGAGTATTTTCAACCATCTGCTAGGATCCATTCACAGAAACCATCCTGCGAATTACAACAAAACTAATTTAGTATATTTGATATTCAGCTCCAAGGCTACTTGCACTGATGAGTATAACAGTTCAATTTGCTGAACCATATTACTTTGGTGGAATTGCAGAATACCTCATTCTTAATAACTCTTCATGTAATCYACAAAGCTAAGAAAATAAAGAAAAATCCAATAAAGCAAAAAACAGAGTTACAATAGTATTATACCAATGATACACCTCACATAATTCTGAAGAAACACTCCTTAGCTACTTTCCCCAAGACTGCCTACAAAATACTTAGCACAATTTTCTGGGGGCTGACTTACAAAAAAGCACATGGAAAAACAGAAAGCTGCAACATTTCACTTCATAAAATATATGCATAAAATATATGCACTTCATAAAATATTTGAGGAAAAAAATTCTCAAGTGAGTTAAGTTGCTCTCCTACCTTCATGCTTCCCAAGAGGATAAATTCTTTCTTAAAAAGCCCTTGACTTCCATTTCTTTCTCAGTTCTTAGTCCTTCCTTGTAGAAGTGAGATCTGGACAAAAAGGTACCCAAAGTTGTAATACTGTTATCAAGATTTTTACATGACTTAAAGTTGTTCCCTACAAAATTTAAACTCACCAACAAAAGTAAATCCTTTTATTTGCAGAGTATTTCATTGAACATTTTTAGATTTGTTTTAAGACAAGAATTCTGCATCTAAGACAGATAAATTAAGGAAGCAGTGGAAAATAATTTCAGTTAAATACTTTCGTCTCATGCAGTATCTGTAGGAGATTCATCTTATTAGATTGATCTTATTCATCTTATTAGATTGATCAGAGCTGAGGTACATGCAATAAACAGCCAGTATACCCTAGCTTAGTTAAATGAGAACAGTTGGACATATCTAACCATATACAAAATTGTCAGAAGCAGAATGTATTTAAGCTACAATTGTTTAACTATACAGTAATTTCTAAAGCCATTACTCTGGAAGCTTTGCTGTAGCACACACAAACTAAGTCCCTCCCCAGGCACCCACTAAGCAACCCAACAGTCCAGAAAACTGGTGCTTYTAGGCAGGCAGCTGGGAAAGAACATGGGTGAAGCTCAAGCCCTACATGGGCTACAACAGCTYAGTGCAAATGCTGTCTGAAAAGGCRCTCAAAGCCTAGAAAATTCTAGAAAAAGCTGTCTCAGTACAAAAACCAGGAACACTAGCACTGAAAATATCCATAGAGTAAAATAGCATGAGAGGCTAACTTATGCTACATGATCTATTTAATTTTTTTCCTGCTTCAGGCCCCCCTCACACAGGGGAGCATTTTCTTAAGTCAGCTGGATGAGATGCATCCTGCACATAAACACCATCTCCAGCACACATCCAACTCTGCTCCCAACCGCTCCCTCAAAGGCATCTGCTACTCCTGGGGAAAGGCCCTATGAGCTCTCCTRGAGGCCCCTCACCCTCCTATCCCCTACATCACCCACACAGCACACCCAAGTTGGATACAGCCACATCCTCTCCTAGACAGCCACCTCYACACAAGGCTGCCTTTGACAGGACCACTAACGAGCCCAACCTGAGGCACTTGGCTAAAAGGCACAAATGCCCCTCTCACAGGCTCCTTTCTCCCAAGAATACAACCCAGCTGATGACTGCCCTTACTACCCACTACCACTACACAGCCTCACACAGCCAAGAGAAGACATTCAGCAATGTTTGCCTCTACACAAGACTATCCAAACAGTCTCTACTCTGCATACTCAGGCCAGTGGAAAAGCACACACACACACCTGCAGCTCCACAAACAAAAAGAAGCTCTGCACTAGCACCTACTGCCAAACCACATCCTATCAATTCATATTAAGTCCTTCAAGGTTTTTAAGAAAAARTGACTAATGCACCACATTGATTTTTTGCTTTTCATCAAGACAAAGCTATTACCACCAAAAAAAGCCTTTTTTCCTGCTGTTGCCATCCCCCCCCCCCCCAAGGCTCCAGCAGTCTGCAAGTCCTTGTCAGGCTGAATCAATGTGCAATTGACAACAAAAAATTTCTTTACATTTAGAACAGTCCCAAGCTGAGACTAAAAGTAAGTGAGRAGATGCTGTAAACAACCAAATTCCTCTAAAAAGTAGGAATCAGCTTAAAAACAAAACACAGACCTCCATTACTCCCCATTCCCTCCCGCAACGACAAACCACCATCTCCTACCGAGATCTAAAAAGGTAACAACTCCTGCGGAGCACGGCCGGCCAGAACCCACCCCMGAAACGCGCCCCTAGCAGGGACAAGGGCGGTGCCGACGTGGCCGCCTTTATAGCCCCCAAGTCTCGACACGCCCTCTTCTCGCGAGACCTCGAGCAGCCTATAAAAGYGGCGCCCGACGCGCGTGTCGGTCGTTACTTCTGCACATGGTTGGTAACGGTTGCGGTTGCGGCGCGAGTGGCTGGTAACGGCTGCGGCGCGCGCTGCCTGGTGGAACGACTGCTTAAGATGTGTTTCAAGTGTCTTTATTTTGTGGATGTAGCTGARGAAATTTGTTGGGTCTTTAGTGAAAAAACCCTGTGAGAGTCTTTTTTTCTCTAAGTTTTTTTTGTTGTTGTTGCAAAACTGATATTGTCTTAGATGGTATAGCAGCTATAAGGAAATAATGGGGCTAGTAAACGTTTATTGTAGAAAACATTTTTCTGYGTTTGTAACTTGGATTTTAAGGCAGCAACAGTGGGAGATAAATGCTGTAAGAGGCATAAGTAGGTAAACACAACCTGATGTATTCAGCTGCTGCTTAAGATCAAGGGCCCAAAGTGATTTCTGTAGAGTTATGTAGCTCAACTTCTGTGAGGCATGAAAAAGCAGCAGTAAGTACCTTTATAAACARTAAAATATCTGTATGTCCCTAGTGYAAAAGCTCCAGAGAGCCAACAAGTGTGAGGAGATTACTTTGGAAGTGTAAAAGTTGTGGGTCTTGTTACAGAGTGCTGATAGTTGGTGTTGTGCTAAGGCCATTGCCTAGCTGTGACTGATTGTAAGTGGGAGATGTTGTAAAAAAGTGGAAGTTTGCACTGTGTTTCTATAAATATAAGTGTAAATATCTGTAGTGCTGCTATAATTCCCTAACAACCTTACCAGTGGTCTAGAAGGCAAACTTCTTAGAGACTGCACTTATTGCACTTCACTATTCCTATGAAAAGCTTACAAAATAGCAAAGATAGCAATGCACTGAGGATGTGAGCATCTCTTATGGTGATTTAAAGAGATACTTTTTCTCCTAGAAAAATCTGTTTTGATTCTTTGTTTCAGGAGGCAGAACACTCCAGGACACCTTTAACTAAAACTTTTGTTTCCAGAAGAACTGCAGCAGTTCTATGGAACTTACTTTGCTAAGTATAGAGTCTTGTGAGTGAAATAGGCATGCGGGGGCTGCAGCCTGGCGCAGGCCCTTGCCCTGCGGCCGCAGGCATGCGGGGGCTGCAGCCTGGCGCAGGCCCTTGGCCTGTGGCCCCCATATAGGCTCAGCAGTAGCCTGGCAGCCCTGTGTGGTCTCCAGTGGCAGCCTCTAGCCTTTCTTTTGTTGCTTTCCTCTTTACATTTCATGGGATGTTTCTTGAGTTTCTTTGTATAGCATATAGTATAAAACAGAGTAGCAGTCTTTGAGGGCTTTCAAATATCTTTTTATTTCTCTCYGTCCAGTATTATGTAATCACTTTTTTCAACTTAGTAGCCCAAAGTTACAGGTTTATGGTGAATCTTGGGAAGATATTTGTATAAGAGCTGCTGTATTATAATGCTTGACATTATTTTCAACATCATTTCTGCTTCTATTGCTTTGCTGAGAAGATGAGCCCAAGCCTACTGTAAAAGTGGCACCAGGGATTTTTGGCTTATTGTGCCTTAATTTTTATGTTGATCTGCTTGATAGAGGGACTGATTTTTTTCTCAGTGTTTCAGGAGTAGCTTCCTGTAACTTGCATTTAACTAGAGTATTTGCCTAGTGTTGTGTGTATTGGTTATAAAGAATGTGCTTGTAAGACACATACACCTATTAGTACACWTACACTAGACTTATTATGCTGGAGTTTATGGTAGAAATAAAAACACCTTGTGAAGATTTGATGTTTGTTTGATGGCTTTTGTTTTCACTTGATGCATCTATTGAATCTGAGTCTGACACTTTTCTTTCTATAGCTGCTGGTATTTCTTTGGTCTATGTGTTTGTGAATTATTTTCAACATGAATATGAAAAACAAGTACTGGTTTATTTGTGTTCTAAAGGGAAGATAGGGAATTATGAAATGGCCAATCAAGCCCTTTTTTAGATGCTAGCTGCTCCACTGGAGTAAATTCTCCATAAAGCTTTCACTTTAATGCTGAGAGTTCTTAAGTAATTTCTAAGYTGTGAAATAATTTTAGTATAGACATCTAAATTCAGGAAGTTACTCCAGGAGCTAGAACTTARCTGTTTGATCTTCCTGTAACCTTGGGAGCTAGGATTTATGTTAGCCTGAGGATTAGGAAGTAGAGAGGGAGGGTTAAAAAAAGGATATTGTACTGCCTTTGCACATACTGAGGAAGCATTGCAGCTTTGTTAAGGCTAAGCACATTAGTACCAAGTTGCACCAAAACCAAAGCAGCTTTCAGAAATTGCTTCTCTGTCTAGGTGCTTCTTCTGGCATCTCTGTTCTGTAAGTGCATTTGATAGTAACTTCAGGCTGAATTTCTCAAAAATATTTAGGTATCTTCCACAGGAGAGGGTGGATAGTAGAGATACAAAACTAAGCACTGAGAGAGCAAGTGCATGTGGTTTGAGTTTCCTTTTAATGTGAGGAGGCTCTAAACTGTTTTCTTAGACTTTTTTCTAGTAGCCTATTGGCTGTTTTGGTTATGAGCTCTTAAGTAAGCTGAGAAATGGATTTTACAGGTAAGAAGCAGGCCATTGATATAGGCAGGGAGGCTTGAGTGTGAATCCTCATTCCATTTAAGMGGTATGTCAGCTAATGAATATTATATCAATAAACCATAACCAATGTAGCAATACTGAACATTGAAAAGCTGCAAAGTTATGTAAGAAGTTTTGCTTGGTTATAGATTGTTTCCCACGCAAATATTAGTTGTTTTCAAACTTTAGCCTTTTGAGTTTTGAGAGTTTGATTTGTACACTTAGAGTGCTTCTGAATGCTTAAGACTTCTTGTTCTTTCTAAATAGATATAGTACACTATTTGATAAACCAAAATTGTTGCTATCTACTATGTATTGCAAAATTAAAGGAAGACCATCTGAATGAATAGTTGTTCATGCTGGTTAACATATTTATTTTTCTTGTCAGAATCTGAAACTGTTATTTTTATTTGAGACTGTACTTTTATTTGTCTTATGAAAACCTAAAATAGATCTAAGAAAGCTATTTTTGAATAAGCAATGCAGTTCATAATACCCTTCTAAGGTGGATTAGCTAACCTCATTTAACTATATCCTCTAGAGGTCTTTAATAACCTTAACATATTTTGTCACTCCCATCTGCTTTCATTTAAGGCTGATTATACTAACATGCCTTAAAACTGGAAACCACCTGACCACTCAATATTGTTTTAAGCAGATGCAGCTTATAGTATTTTGTAAGTGTAAACACAAAGCTTGCTATTATGAAGCTAATTCATTTTATTGGACTTGTCCTTATTTAGTCTACCTGTAAGCTTGGGAAGCTTTTAGGCTTTCTTGAGAAGCTGTWCTTAACTGGGACATGCCTCCCTTCCCCCAAGCAGCTATTACTAACTTGCTACTGTTGTAACTTAATTTTCTACATGAGTCCTCTGGGAAATAAATRAGCCTAACTGAGAGGCGAGGTGTTAGCTGCGAGTTCAGCATCTATCAGCTCAGACTAATGATGAGGTTTGATGCGGTAGGTTTGATGCTTCCCAACAGTGTAACAGATGTTGATTATGCTACTTTATTGTGCCTGAATTGAACCTATGTGTTAAGTGCCTGAGGCTGCCATGCAGATCACATGGCTAAAAAGAGGTAACACTGGTGGTACATGGAGTGTAATTCATTGCTCTCTAACAGCATGTGACAAGCAGACTGCAGCATTTCCAAGCTGGAGTGATCTCACTTCAAGGTATTCATCTTTGCAATACAAGTAAATGTTTCTGTCATAGCAGAAGAATTACAGGGATTGCCACAGTAGTAATGTGTTAGGCTGTATAGTGTATTTTAGAAGTAATTTTATTCYGTCTTTATTGAAGCATCAACTCTTATTTGACTAAACTGTGGATAGTTTCACAAACTGTTTTGCATTTACTGCTATATCAGGAAGTAGGGTAAGATGTGCTGACTGTGCACTGAAGTCTCATTTGTACTGTTTTTATAACTTCAAATGAGACTGAGATGTATGAGATTTAGTAAGAGGCTGGTACTAAGTGGTGTTATTACTGGTCTTCAGTCATATATTTAAAGAATGGCAGAAGGACTAAACTGTTGACTAATAGCTAATATTATTTGTATCCTGATTGCATAGTAGTTTGCAGTAATGGGAGCAGGGTTCTCTGGAAGTAGACTGATTTCTGCATGTCTGTACTCAGTGTTGCTGTTGTGGACTTGTGAGTATTGTCATAGATGTCTAATGAGGAAGCATCTATTGCAATGTTGACAATATCTTTTGTTTGCTTCTAGGACAATTTAAAGGTTAAATTGGTGGGTCAGGAGTTAAGACTTGCAGTAAATTGGGCTAGTATTTCTACAGGATGCTTGTCTTGTGATCAATGTCATCTTTTGTCTTCTCTCTGTAGCATATCTATCAATATTAATTGTTCTGCATTTGAATAAACAATTCTTCTAAGCTGGAGCTGGTGTTCCTTGTGCTGATAGTGTTATTGTTATCACAACTGGTGTTTCTGTGTGTTRACATTTATATTTAACTGGAATTTGTTTCTAAGTAGATATGGTATGTGTATATGTAACTAAATATTTTGACTCTGTCCAAATGTGCCATATCATGGAGTTTGAAGTTGTAAACAGGTATAATGGAAAATAACATATTGTGAAGTGATAGGGATGAATCAGAGTTGTGATCTTTGTCACCTTGCCAAGGTTACATCCTCTAAGCTTGTGTCAGTTTGTTTCCTGTGGTTTCCTCAGCAGCAGCAGCTCTGATTAGTGAATGGGATGTAGAACAAAGGTGAACAAAGATGAAATGATGTACTGATTCTTCGTATAAACAGCAAAGCCTGCAATATTGGGAATTGGAACCAAGGTACAGAATAACCTACTATTAGATCTAGTCCTATTTTTTATGGGCATATGAAATCTCTAAATAARCTCTACCAGCATCAATAATTCTTTRTATTTTGCTCCATATSATTGTCAGAACACTGGTGTGTCTGAAGTTGAATGAATGCCAGTTATACTGTGTTATTGGTCAACACCTACCAAGTTTGCTGAAGTYTRCTCTTAATTGCAATAGGCTTCCATTTATAGGTGCCACACTTCATTTTAAATTACTTTCAAAGAAGAATATTGCTCTTCTAATATAGCCTTGCAGTCTACCTTTCCAACCACCTTTAGTACAAA